GTTATTCTTATTTTACAAAAGTAACCCTGACAAAGACAGGTAACGGTACAGACGGAAACAAGCTGTATCGGTGGAAACAGAAGTCATATTCAGATATTCCGGTTTTGAAGTCATTGCACCCCACTGACTTTAGAAAAATTCAGGAGTTCATATTTAAGCTAGTTTTGCTGAATTAAATAAGCATGATTGCCAGTCCTTAAATTAAGGGAGAAAAATGCCTATATACATCAGTATTTAAAAAGTTTCCTTATGTTGCTTTGAAATAACTTTAAAATGCGACAGTAGGGTACAAGTCAAAAAACTATTTGTTAGGATTGTCAACTTCAACTTTCCAATCTACACTGACTTTGGTTGGTATCAATTCACTGTGCCCAAAGGGTACTGAGCCCCATTCTGTGAAAATGGTAAGGAAATAGCTTGTTTCATCATCAAAACAGCGCAGTCTGATCAGAGGACTTGAGTCAGCCCATGTCCTGACAATCTGAAGTTAGCCTCAGGCAAAGTGGAAAGTGAATTTCCCTTGGGTTTTTCTCTTTGTTTTTACAGATCCAAAATATATATTCTCAAGGACCAAGAGAGCTTGTAAAATATAACAGTGGGCTTCCTTTCATACCTGTTCTGGTGCTGCATGCAGTGCTGGTGCGTTGGACAGGACAGTGAGGTCTGAAATGCTGGGGGAGGCGGGGGCGGACACTGGACAGCCAGGAAATGTGTATCTGACCTGCACCGATGACTGCCGTTTCTCAGTCACTGGCTGAAGTATCTGCATAACACTGTCCGACAGAGAGGAAGTGCCTTTTGGTTGTCGGTTTGATAGTGCAAACTTCCTAAGAATCAAAATTTCAAACTTGCTTGCTTAGCTATTTTAAAGTGTACACTTTTAATTTGTTTAAATATTACTTCTATTATACATATACTTTTACCCTCAATTTTGGAAATATATTACTTAGTTTGATTTAGTTACAAACAGGTTTTTACTTATCAACCAGTATTTGATTTGTATCAGCCAAAGGTAATCTGTAGATTATTTAGCCTAAAAATTGAGACAAGTAAATGAGTAAGTAGACATGACATAAATTGGAAACTTTATGTTAAGCTTCTTATATTTGATAAGACTTTCAAGATTTTTTTTACAACATTTATCCACCTCTTATGGAAGATAGTAAAAGAAAGTGAAAAGTTTCTAAACCATATCAAAATATTTCCAAACTATATTACTTATTTAAGGACTTTGGAGACAAGGTTTTACAGAAGCTTAACAGGAATTTTCCATTTCTGAGAGACTGACATGCCAGCAGGGTAGCACGCACGCTGCAGAGCCGCATTGCCTTGATTATGTCCATGTGTCAGATTTCTGTGTTTTATAAAGAAAGATGGGGAGTCGACACAGGCCATTTTGTAGAGTGCTCGTGATAGTTGTAGATTCTGTTCCATCTCTGGACCGAGTTCATTCTGATGGTGCATTATCACTTTAAGATTCTGGTTGGTGCTCATATTACAGTAACTGGAGGTCATTATCCACATTTTAACTGGACTAAAAAGTTTCTAGTACCAGCATTAACTTTTGAATTATGTGCGAGGTCTTAGACTTTACAGCATGTTTAGTTTCTTTTCACTTCTTATTAGTATTTTTCAGTACTTAATAGTCCCCTGCACCCACCTCCAGCAAGAACTCTCCTCTCTGTTCAGCATCAGAACCCTTTTCCGCTTTGGCATGTGCTCTCTAGTTCCCCAAGCAGCGAAGGCAAATTGGAAAGTTCAGCTGTCATTCTTGGAGGGTCATAGATCACACTAGCAGCCGGAGTAATCCAAGAGGTTTTAAGTATCATAGCATTTAGTTTAAAGTGAAATTTGCTCTGACAGGGCTGGCAGACCAATAGGAAAAAGAAATATTTGTGCTTGGAGAAGTGCATATGTAGAGACCAAGAGTATAACTGATGGCTGGAAGTGATTTCAGTCTAAAAAAACAAATCATTAAGAGAGTGCATAGGGGTAAAATACACAGTTCATATTTTAAAGAGTCTCAACGTGAACCAGCAACTAAGGTTAGCATTACACAGTAATTAGCTGTGGAGGCGGGGCTTTAACTCGCTCAGCACCAGACACTGTGGTCAGCCCATCGCTGTGAAAACGCTGCCCCTTCCATCCGACCCTCTGCTTTGGGCCCGCAGCAGCAATTTCTGTACCTTAAAAAATCAAGGTATTATGACAGATTATATAAATGTTGAAGCAGTAACAGACAAACAGTTATTCAGAGGAGGTGCTAATGACTCAGTTTATTGACCCAGGGGTTACTTAAGCAGCTCAGTAGGCTCCCCTGGCATGCAGCGGTGCGCAGCGAGGCGTTGCCCGGCGCTCCAGCACTGCCAGTTTCAAGGAGTCCTTGAACTTAAAGGAAGAAATGTAACTTAAAGATACTTTCCTTAAAAGATTGCTGGGAAAAGTGTGAGACCATTATAGGTTTGAGTAAATATTCCCATCGGCTTGGTAACCACATCTGACAGCTTCCACCAGGCGCCTATTAGGGTATTTTTTTTTCCCTGTTAATTGCTGCAAATGAGGAAAAAGAAAATATCTTTTCATGGTTCAGTTGTTTCTTCCAAATTCTTGTTCTCTTCAAGAAAGCCAGTTCTGAGTCACAAGACTATAAAGCTTACAAATTCTTTCCTTGAATGTGCAGAGCAGATAACAGGAATGAACCGGAAAGGACTCCCAGCAAGACAGGAGACTGAGCTGACTTGGAAGAGCCCCTCCAAATTTAACAGCAATTTATAATTTGTGGCCAAATTCACAAAAATTCACAAAGATGGGACGCACCCCCAGGGATACACATGCACAAAAAAGAGTCTCCCACAAGAGCACTGAACGAGGCAGAGGTGACGCGGTGTAAGAGCACAGAACCGCGTCCCCACAGAAAGTCTAGAACCTCGAAGGGCCGCCTCTTTCTCATCGGTTAGAAAGGGAACTTGTGACTAATTCACCAGCTTGCTCTATATACATGGACGGGTTCAGAATTTCAACTGTGTAGTCTAATGGAGGGGACCCGAATCCAGAAATTACTGTGATTGTTTCAGGACAGTGAAATCCCCAGGGCCTGGGGAGATTATAAACAAACCGGAGCCTCTCTGTAGAAATATATCCAAGCTCAAGGGCCAAGAGACAGTCCAAATAAATATATAAATAAATAAAACCTGAACTTGGACACAATAAAACAATTACAAAGCTCATAAAGAAAGGACTGTCATAAAGGAAAATTGTTAGGTGCAGCAGTAAGAGTTAGGATGCCCATGAACTAGAGTTAATACAAAAATCCCCCTGAGACTAAAAAATATAAGAAAAATAAAAGGATAGAAAACAATGCAATGATAGAAAATGAAAAAGTACTAACTATACCATCGTCACATAAAAATATAATTAAAATAGAGTCTGGATATGGTTAAACAACAGATTAAGATATGTAATGAGAGAACTGGAAATGGAATGATATTACAGGAGCATCGATAAAGTGGATTTTCTTTCATTTGGACTAAATTTGTGACTGTTTTACATGCACTTCCCCCATCGTCAGTGCAAACTAGTTTTTACCAGAAGCATCTCAGAATAGTGATTAAATTGAAAGGATCTATATCTTCCTCCTTAGAGCTGACAGATGTCCTTTTCCTAAGCTTTTTTTAAGAAGTCCCACATGAGTACTTTAAACACAATTTCCGCCTAATATTTGTCCCCGATTTGGGGGAAATATTACCTTGATTTTACTAAAAATATGATTCTAGTATTTAGCCATTTAACTTTATCCCAATAAAAGGAAAACTGATAATCATGCACATAAAAGTGTAAAAGAAAGCTAAATGGGAAATGACCGCTAAATCTGGTATAGATTGGTGAAGCTCAGTAAAAGACCGCTTAACTGCTCCTTTTCTCACTAATACCGAAGCTCAAGTCCAAAGCAATAACTACCACCTCTGAGCCGCCTAAATATATATATTTACTACATACAAGTCGCTGGCAACGAGCCGCTAGTGGCAGTCGGATGAGCATTGCAGGGGCCGTCAGACAGCAGCAGCACCTTAACGCCCACGCCCCTCACATTCCAAGGTCCAAGACAAACGGTGTCTTCTATTTTGATAGGCCCCGTGGTCACAAAACTGCATGTGCATGATACATGTTGGCTCTGAGTAAATTACTTCACAGTTACAAAATGAAGACACTGATTGTATGGGGAAGCAAGGGAAAACCACATTCTATCAATGGTAAATATGCTGAAAAGTTCAAGTTTGATAAGGCTTGCTTTATAACTTTGTAAAAGCACAGTATTCAGTGAAAAGACCAGCTCGCCATCTAGTGGTTGTTCTGTAAGTTACAAACATTTAGATCTAGATTTAGTAATTACTCTACAAATGTTAGGTGTAATTTTATAGGCATTATCTCATTTGATCAACACTTTGATTGTGATTTTGTGAGTATAGAAGAATAGCATGAAAAATTGTCTCTTCTGCCAGAATGTTCCGCCCTTTCTGTTGCATACGGAGGCAAACTGCTACAGTGGATTTCATCTGCATGGAATACCACAGCCTCTTAGTGATTGGATAAAGCATGTTCTCATATTAAAGGGGCAAAAATTGTTTTATTCCCAATTAAATATAACATAAAATTCTCATCCAATTTTTATATTCATTCCCTTTAGTCCCAGTTCCCAAATAGTACATGTATAACTAAAAAACACATTTTAAAAGGAAAAATAGTATTTTGGGCCGTGAAATCAGACGAAGTGTAGATGGAGAGCATTTCTGGAAACGGGTCCAAACAACAATCCTGTGAGGCTACGGAGCGAGAACGGGGCTCGGATTGATTTTTTTTTTCTTTTTTTGTAACATACACTAATATATTAATTATTTACTGTGCATTCATTTTGCTGGCTTGGGAATTTCAAAGAAGGACAGGACTTATGTTGCTTTTATCTAATTTTAATAAAATAATGATAATGCTTTTCACTTACGCAGCACTTTTCATCCAAGGATTCCAAAGTGCTTTACAAACATGCACTAATTAAGCCTCCCAAACAGCCAGAGGTAGGTGGCTCCCTTCCCTTCCCGCAGGAATGTCCGCTGTGGCACAGGGGCTCCCCGGGGGCCTCTGAGCACCTGGGACCCCTCGCGGGCTGCCGTCCCCTTGTCATGTGCTGCATGTGACGCGTCACTTGTCATGTCTGGGTTTCTCCCTCCCATCCCCCCATCATCTCAAGTTTAGAATTCTGTTGAATGCTGTTAAAAATGTTTGAAGCCTTGTAAATATTACAGAAATCTCAGCCTTCTGCTTGCTGAATGCTAATTAATCTTTAAATATTTTTAAAAAATAAAATCCAGGTGTAGTTTTATATTTGTTGATGAATATCAAATATAAATTTTGTGTTTATGAAGAACTTATCATCTTGCTTTCTAGGTACCCTCTCCTATTTGTCTTTTCACAACAAACGGTAACTGTTTTCATTGAACTAGAATTACACATTTTCAAGAAGAGATCTTGCATTTTGGTATTTTTCTAATTTAAAGGTCCAAAATTTGCTGTGTAGACATTGAAGATAAGGGCTAAGTGACACTACAGAACGAGCCCTGGAAAGAAGAGTGGGTCTAGTTGTGGCCTGCTCTGACCTAGAGGGACACCAGCTCTCATGTGTAGGCTGGGAGCACCAGGAAGAGGGTGTGTGCACCCAGGGACACACGTGCCGTGTGGGAGTAAGATCCTGTACCAACAGCCAAACAGGCACGCTCCCCTGTTTGCAGCACAGTCACACGGGCAGGGCCGGGTGCAGCCTGTCCCAGCAGAGGCGCCCTGGTCCTCAGGGTCCCCAGCAAGGGCACGCAAGTGCCCTTGACACTGTTTATTCCAAGTCTCAGTGGGTCAGAAAGCACAACCTCTGCTGCAACACCTCCCTTTTATGTTCATGGTTTCTACCCCTTTCCAGAAGAACTTACCTGAAGAATCTATCTTCTGTTTAAAGGAAAACTTATGGTTGGGCTCTCCTGGTTTTGAACCAGATTCAGCATTAACAAGGCTAGTGCTCACCCAAGGGAGAAAGTAGAGTAAATAAATGCCCACATGTCCCAAAAGAATAAAGTTGGTTTCAAATTTTCCTCCTCCTATGGAAGTTCAAGACCTTTTGTTCTTGACATTGTGTGTACTACACACACATCTCTGCATAAATAGAACTTAATCACAGGACATTTGCAGGCTCAGCACCTGGAACTCTGATCAGAGTCCTAAGTTCTGCCTTACTTCCACTGACTTGGGGTACAAATCCTTACCAACAGTGTGACTGACATTTTTATAAAAATGTAATATGCAGCTGTCAACTTACAATGAAAAGTATAACCACCAGACAAACCAGATAATGTCGAAGTGTGTTCCTCACCCTGTTGGCAAAGCCACATGGGAAAAGAGCGATCAGAAGTTTGCCTATTGCTGATCATAGAAATGAAACAGGGAAAGGCTTGCAGTCTGAGTGTATCATGACCTCCGGCTCTCAGAACCTTTATTAAGGTTCCTTCCTCAACGAGGACAAGCCTGCCAAAAAGATCAGATGCTCCTGGTGTGGCCGTAGCTCACCCTGAGAAATGGCTTGGGCGGGGTCCACCACCGTTGTCCCTGCGGAGCCCCATGGGGTAGGCTGACTCCCTTCTGAGCATCACCTCCCTCCTGGGGCTAGAACTAGTCCCGTTGCTACTGTTGCCCCATGAGAGGTTCTGCTTTGAAGGTGCCTTTGCATGTTTCTTCACCGATCTGCTATGTGCTGCTTCTTTACAACTTCTTGAAAGAGATCTTGCTATAGCCCCTAGACTGAGAAACACAGACAAAATTAACTTGAATTTAACCAAAGTCTTCCGCTCAGCCTCAGAGGAGATGCTTAAAATATATATATATATAAGGAGTGGTAGAAGGCCAGTAATAAATAGATGAAAAAGGGACATGTTTCAATCCACAGGCTATACAATCACTGTATAAAGTAGAGAGTTGTTTAGATACATGAACTTAGCCTCAGTGCTTCAGGAGAAAAGTGTTCAACAGCCAACTTTTCCTCCGATTTTAAACTGATACATGTGTATCTTAGCTCACAGACTCCATTAATTTCTGAAATGTCTTTGAAGCCACCTCACGAGTAATACTTCCCTTCATCATAAAAGCTAATCTCATGGGACCAAGGTAGGAGGGGAGTGCTAATATTTTGCCATCTTAAGATAAAATTCAGGCTTAAAAATTTCAACCCACATTCAGAAGTTATAGATGGAGCCCAAAAATTTGATTTATTCAGGATCACTCACTGAAAATGCTAACCTAAAACTTATGTTTTAGAAATTCCTTTCCCCTGAGACGTAGATTCACATTAAATAATACACCCTGTATGTATTGTGACTCTTTGCATGTAGTATTATGTCCTATCCCAATACACTTATACTCGTACACACACAAATTATTTAAAACCTTAATATTTTAAGTTGCTTCTAAAGTGTTTTCGTCGCATTTCGAGTCGTGAGGAGGAAGTTAGTGGCTCTGTGAATGTGTTGTTTAGCTCTGTCGAGATTTTGCTGATGGAAGTGTCTCCCGTCGACTCTGACCCCACACCATCCGGGCACGCCTGCTCTCTCCGCGCTCGCTCTGCCTCGCACGCAGCCCCCTCGACCGGCGCGCCCGGGCGCCCCTGCATGAGCTGTGCATGAGCGCTGCCTGGCGCGGGGAATGCCTGTCCTTTCGCTCAGGGCTGGATAGCTCTCTGGTCCTTAGAAAGTGCTTTGGAGAGCGGACTCTTGTCTAAATAATGTGTTAATAGATGAAAGAATAACTTTTAAAGAGTAACAACCAAAGGTCATCCATTGTCAGGTTATCTTTATAACCGAAGGTACTCTTCAGGCTTCTGTTGTTTCCAAAGGATACACTGAACCCAAATTGAGAATTAACTTGCTGTTACTCAAAAGAGACCTGTACTACTGAGCAGTTTTTTTGCACTGAGGAGTCAGAAGAAGCATCGCAGGTCAAACCTGGCCAACTTTGAAATCATGTAGAGTTTCCTGCCTTTTCCCTTTACTCACATGTGTGTGAGGGTTCGGCCCTGAGTGAGCGTTCACTGCTAGAAGTCAAACTGCATGGCCTTACCAAGGGCAGGTTAGCCTGTATCTTCATATGAAAGAGAGCTCTTTGTAAACAGCAAGACACAATTTCCACAAGCCCTGTTGTTCCCTGGCATCGTACTTCTGATCATTGCTAGCATGTAAAATCTCCCCGTATTCTGGCATAAAAGCCATATACGAATGTAATTGACTGAGTTTTCTTCTGATCTGTCCTTCACTTTGCTGTGAATGGTTACCTGATGACAATGGTTCCCAACATCTTTAACACACGTTATTAGAAGGAAATATTTTTATACACATCTTATGGCTATATTAATTTTTTTAAGGATTAATAACATCCATATAAATTGCTTTCACTGCTAGGAAGAGAGTCTTGAAGGTGTAAAGTTCCAGGCATTGTGGATGTGTGACAAATCATTAACTTACATGTCTTTTTCTCCTTTCAGCCTTGGCATGGATGGCTTTGGCCAGTCGGTGGGCGTTCTGGGCCGCCCGGCCACGGCGTATGGCTTCCGCCCCGAGGACCCTTACTACTACGGCTGCGGAACGCGATGAAGGCCGCCTTTCCGTGTGTGCTCTTAGATTAGAGGAAGCATGTGTGGGTTGGGGTGGCTTTGACTCTTGGGCTAATAATGCATGTTGATGCTAGTGCGGCTCTGTGTTCCTTTTTATTTTTCGTGTTGTTAGCTGCAGATTAACTCCACCCCTTTGGTCCTGTGCAACGTACAGTGGATGCTTGACACTGCTCACTCATCAGACCACCTCTTGATGCTGGATAGCGTTTCCCATGAGACTCAAAAACGAATCCTGAAAAGCAACTAACTATACTGGAAAACAGACACTACATTATGTACATTAAGTGACGAATTTAATTTCTATTAAAAAGCATAAAGTACAAATGAATTAGAGAAGGTCATGTATTTCTATTTAATGTGTTTCATGAGGAGCTACATGCTTACATAGGGTGCACGTGAACTTTATTTTTCCCTGCCTCCTTTCCCCACTTACAGACACAAGCATTTCATGTGATATGTGCTACCCTGAAAATGTATTAAAGGATGCCACATTTTTATTCCTTGCCATGTGCCTAAAAGGTTGCTTCCCAAAGTTATTAACTAGGACTTTTCAATGAACCATGGAACGTGTGCTGTAAGTTATGTGATATATGAGTACTGTCTCCTCAGCCATTGAAATTCATGTCTTTATGATTTTAACATAGAAAACCTGGGGCATCTATTAGTATGTATGAAACTAGACTAGTATTAGGCTTTTAAATTTTATTATTTGTGAAATACAAAGTATGGGGAAGCTAATTATAAGTCTCACTGAGGAAAACTAAGGAACAATATTTTGCTTGCTATAATTCATGTTATAAGATAGATTTAGTTAATAAGAAATGGAAAGACATTCTAATTAATAATGAGTTTTGAAAATAACTCAGTGTTACAATGCTGAACAGTTACTTAAAGCAAATAAAATGGCCACAATCAATAGATATTTTCTTGAGCACTTGCTGTGGAAGGAACTTCGGAGCCTTTGGAGGGAATGCCCAGGTCAAAGGCAACTTCTGTCCTTCAGGTTTAAGTTTCCTTGACCTACCCCACTATCAGCTTGATCTATATTTTAAGTATAGAATAGTAACGTGGAAAGAGCCTTTGCAGTAACTCAGCCCATCTACCTATTTGAGAAACCAATCACATGAAAGTTTTGAAATATAATCAACAGATTTTTATAACTACCTCCCATGTTAAGGAAATGCATATGATGCTCTGTGAATGTAAGATATGATTTGTGTCTTTGAACTGACAGCCTAATTGTTCTTTCTGAAAACATACATTTGTCAGGGTTTTTTTTTTTTTCTCTTTTATTGATTCTAGAGAGAGGGGAAGGGAGGGAGAAAGAGAGAAAGAGAGACATCAACGTGTGGTTGCATCTTGCATGCTCTTCAGCTGAGGACCGAACCATGTGCCCTGACCAGGAATCGAACCTGCGACCTTTCCCTTTGCAGGACGATGCCCAAACAACTGAGCCACACTGGCCAGGGCCATCTTAGTTTCTATTTTAATCATATAATATTAAAGCTGGAAATGGCCCTGAAAGCAACACTGTCTCATTCGTTCTGTTGAAAACTCTGTGGCCAGGAGAGATGAAATGATTTGCCCAAGCTTCTCTATTTGGTCAGTGACACAGCCTGTCCGCCTGCTTCCAATCCAGAACCTCTGCACTAAGTATCGCGCCTTACCATATGTCATATGTACAGAGGGTAAATACACATAATACATGTAAGAAGTGGCATTAATAGAAAGACAAAGCAAAAACCCTATAGCCTAACTTCCCGCATAGCATTACAGAGCGGTTCAGGAAGAACATCATATGAGGCATCTAACGCACAGTAAGTGTTCGACACGTGTAACTACTTACACTACGCGAACTTGTTTTATTTTTTCTTAGAATTTACAAGTATCTGAATTTATCTGTGTTCACTTACATGCTTATTGTCTCTCCTTCACCTTACGTCTGCCCCCTACGATGTGAGGCCTGCTGAGAGCGGGTAATTTGTTCATCTGCTGGCCCCGGCCTCTCGCGCAGAAGCTGGCCCCGGGTGAGCCCTTACTAACGAGCAAGGTGTGAGTGGCAGGCAAAGTGTTGAGTCGTTTAGCTGAACACCAGATGCACCCGCAGCAGCGTAATACTTAACTGGTGGCAGTGGGCCAGGGCCCTTGGAAGAATGAAAGTAACGTTCCTAGCACTAAGCTACTGGCACACCTTCAGCCTCTATTAAAAAAAAGCTTTATTTGGGTCCCTCAGGCAACCCGCTTTTCTGCAGTAATTGTTCCTCATTTCTCAGTGGTCAGCAGAGTGCATGGGTGTGTGTTAAATGCCCGTGCACTGAACATGGTTTGTAACGTGAGGCTACAAGTTCTAGGACACTTGTGTGCACAAAGCCGAGCAATACTTCTTAAAACAACACGGGTGTCGTGGTGTCTGCAGCTTACCCTAAATTCCAACAGCATAGGCGGTGTGGTGCACTGTGTGGGCTAAATGGCCCGAGGCAGGGGCGTCCAACCTTTTGGCATCACACTGGAAAAAGAAGAGTTGTCTTGGGCAACACTTCAAATACATGGCGACACAATCACAAAAACTAGTGTTTTAAGTAAATTTACGATTTTGTGTTGGGCCACATCACAGCCATCCTGAGCCGCATGTGGCCACAGGCCTCAGGTTGGACACCCCTGATCCAAGGTACGCCCTTGAGGCAAGCAGCCTTCCATAGTCAGGAATGTGCACTCCAGAAAGGCCACATTCCAGAGAGGGAGCTGTGAATACTTTCATCACCTTAATTTCTGATGACAACAGATGTTTTGCTAATATCGTAGTGTCAGAAATGTGTTTTTATTGGCAAAATCAGTTTATTATCACTATAAATGAGGTCCAAAAAAGAATCCAAGATAGGTGATTTGGCTAAAATATTTTAGAAAATGCTCTCCACTCTTGAATAAACAGGGTCGAAACATTCAAGGAGACCTCCACTGTTGGAGATGCCACCTGTGGCTTTATCCCTAATGGTCCTGGCTCTGTCAATGGTCTGAGAGATTTATGGTTGCCAGATGCTGATGCTGAGGACGACCACGAGGGTAACAGAATCCAGCCCTGGGCAGTGGTACCGCTGCTTCTCAACTTTGTAGAACAAGGTGGTGATCGGAGCTCCTAGAACTGCTCCCTCCAACATGGCAGTTGCTATTCATACGTGACTACTGCGCATGAAAATATGGCCAGTCCAGATTATAAAATATAAACATCCTATTTTGAAGACAGTACAAAAATCTCAGTATTTTTATACTGAGTTTATGTGCAAATGACAGTCTTCTGGGTCTACTGTGTTAAAACTATTCAAATTACCTTCATTCTGTGGCTACTATAAAATTTAAAATTACTTGTGTGGCTCGAATTCTGTTTCTGTAGGACAGCGCTGACAGTACAGAGAGCTCGGCTTTCATCAAGCTATTAGAACAAATTAAATACTATTTGCATCGGTCTCCTAATATAAGTATTTAATACATTTCTGAGTAAGGGGCAACATTTGGTCTGCTACTTGATTTCATTTAACCTGGAGAAGACATTGTGGGCTCCTTTATCCATATTAAAGTTTCAGCTACTGTTATCGACCATAAAGAACCTAAAAGTTTCAGATGATGGAAGGATTTGGGTCAGCTGTCACTTGACAGGTTGTAGACGCATTGAGTAGGAGTGATGACGGCCACGACCATGCAGAGAAAAGGAACAGAGACTATATTCAGTTTGAGTCATGTACTTTTAAAACTATTGCGTGCATTCACTTTATTCTCACAACAGCCTATTAAATAGAAGTCATTAATGTTAATTACAGGTCCCAAAGAGCCAGAGTTCACTCCTTGCTGAAACAAGTGTAACTTCAGACTTTCGGTCGCCAGCGCTCAGACGCCGTTCGAACGCACGACTTCGGGCCACGCGGCTCAGCCAATCAGCTCTGCGGCGTGAGCGACGTCACTGTCCGGATAGTCCGAAGGCCACAAGCCTTCCCTCCGCCCCGCCCCTTTGCTGTTAGACGCGACCGGGGGTGCCATTTTAGATTCGGGCGGAAATCCAGTGAAAACCCGGGCTTAAAAGCCTGAACGTTACAACCAAGACGAGGTTGCACATTCCACTCGGGAGGTGGAAGAGGCGCCCTCTTTCCAGCCCACCAGGCTACTGGGAACAGTGCGTGAACCGCGAGGTGGGCACCCGCGCCCGCACTCAAGATGGCCCCGGCCCGAGAGTCCCCAGGGCGGCCGCTCTAGCTCGGTTCCGGGTCCATGCGTCTCGGTGGTGGCGTCGGAGGGCCGCGGGCTGGCATTCTGTCCGGCTTCCGGACCCGTCTCTATGGTGGCAGAGGGACCAGACCCCCGAAGCGTGTGGGCGTAGTGGCCGGACCCTCACGGGGGAGGCGAGGGGTGGTTGGTGTCCACAGGGGGCGAAGAGGGGACCGGAGCCGAGACGCTCGGCCGCTTCCCGCCGCCCTCCGGCAGGTAACCGGGCGCCAGGCGCCGCGTCCCCATCCGTGCGGCCCAGGCGCGGGGAGGGGCGGGGAGCGGGAGGTGGGCGCGCGCTCGGCTCGCGGGTCCGCGCTTGGGGGGCGAGCTCGGCGCGGCGCCGCGGCCGGTTGAGCCCGGCCCGCCGCTTGCGCGCAGCCCCCTGCGGCCTGCGGGGTGTCCTCTCCGCGGGGCTGGCGGGCGACCCGGTCCCCGGGGTGGCTGGCGGCCGGACTCTGGAAGGAAGCCGTGGAGCCGGGCCTCGCGATCAGGTGCGGCAGGTGAGGGGCAGCCCAGCGACAGCGCCGCCCCCACCTCCCCCAAGTGCCCCTGCGCGGCCGCTGCTGGACCCCGTGGCCTGAGGCCACGGGCCGGACAGGGTAGGCGGTGTCGTCGGAGCCGGGGGACCCCAGAGGCGCAACTGCTGCCCTTTCTGCGTCTTGTTTTGTATTAAGAATAAAGATGAGACATTTGTAGGAAACCGCGTCAACGCAGAGTCGCCCTGAATGTTGGAACCCCTGTCACCGCTGTCCTTGACACCTGAGCGCAGCAAGCCCCACGTCGGGTCCCTTCTCTTGGCTGAAGTCAGACTTCGTGTTGGGTCCGTAAAGTCTTCATTATGTGTCGTGGTCACCCGGCAGGGCCTGACTGAGCTCCTCGCGGGGACGTACACCCGGAACAGACCAAAGCGAAGGACCCCCAGGAGCGTTATCTCCGCACAGTGAAACGCCGGTCCTCCCAGGTGACCTCTGAACGCACCGGGCAGGCCGTCGTCTTCGGCGCCTCCGAGCCGCCGGGGCCGGGGCGAAGATCGTGGAGGCTAATTGCTGTGGAACGAGCCGAGGGAGAGCTCTTTGGTCCCCGAAGACGCAGGGTTCTCTGTTCCGGGAGCTGCCCAGTGACCCAGGCCGGGCCCAGGAATTCGGGGCGCTGCCCAAGACAGCCAAGGGATGGAGGGCCGTGGGCGAACACGTTTCTAAGCACAAGACTAGTATTCAAGTCAGAAACGCCTCTGGGGAAGCTGGGGAGCGCTTCGTTGCCGAGGGGAGGGGAGGCGGCAGGTCCTGCCACAACGCCCCGCGCAGTGTCAGGGTGCCCTCTCGTACTTTCTGGTGGCTCATTTCAAGCCAAAGATTGTGTGTTTCCCCTGCACTCTCAAAACAAGACAGGGCATTTTGGAAGTCCACGTGTTACTGTTTATTGGTCTTACATTTCAGTAAGTCCATTTCAGCCGAGTTACCATTTTTAAAGCACTGCTTATATCAACAGCTTTAGTGCCTCTTAGGATACAGTTGTGTGGAGTAAAGAATTAAGAACTTATGCTTTTCAGACATTTTCAAATTGCAGTCAACAGCGCATCTTTTTATTTCCGCCTAATAAAGCTTGCCCTGGGCGTAGGCTAGAGCCCTTCTGTGGGCATCAATCATGCTTTCCAAACACGTCACCTTTCTCTTGAGTTCTCTCAAGAAAGGGAGTCGTTTCTTTTAGTTTGTGTTTCTTAGGGCCTAAGACCCAAAATGTACACCGCTAAATGACCAGTTTTAACCTCTTGCTTGAAAGCGTTCAAACCCTAAGCTTACTTGTCTCCAGGGGGAATTCATGATGTTAAGTTGAAGGTTCATGGATGTTACAAAGTCCGGCCTTGCCACAGGGAAGCCCCCCCGCTGTTCGGAAATGACTGACTTGCTCAGCCAAGCACTGCCTCTGAATCCTGGCGACGCTCTTACCTGTTGCGGGGACTCCTATTAACACTGAGCACACAGCCTGCGTTTTAGCCAGGTGGACTCGCACTTGTTTTTCCGGAACACCATCCTCTGTGGCCAGCAGAGTCAGGCCAGCCTCCGAGGGAAACTTCGAAGCAGCACGCCGCGAACTCATTCCTCTGGGCCAGCTGGTTTGCGGACCGGAGGCAGTTAAGAGTGGAACAGAGTTTTCTGCTTACGAAGTGGCAGCTGTTTTCAAAGAATACGGACCCACTGAGCTCCCCGCGTGTCCCTGAGGCTTCCCCGTGTGGAAGGGGGTCCCCGAGGCTGGTGGTGCTTATGGGCTGGAGGGCAGTGGCGTGTGCTGAAGGTGCACGGAGCCCCCTCCTGAGGCCTGGCTTCCTCTGGGCTTGCCGAGTGCTGTCTCCACCCGGCTGGGGCTTGTGGCGCCGACTATGCCTCTTGGCACCCTTTACCCACTGATGGTCAGAAATACCTCTGGTTCCGACTCCTGGGGAGACAACCAGGCCTGGGTCCCAGAGGTGGCTGATGTGTAGAGAGACTGCCCTTTGGCACTGGGTTGGCACCTGACCCCTTCACTGTCCAGGGAGAGGAGCACAAGATCCAAGCGCTGCTCCAACCCTGCTCTGTGGGGTGGGCGCGTGGTCACGGGCCAGGCAGGCGTGGCACCTTCCTGGACCAGGAGAATCGCCGTAGTTCCTTTCCTCTGGGATCCCACAGACGCTCGCATTTTATTTGTGGTCCCCTCAGAAAGGTGAATGGTGCACATCGTCGAGACACTTGGCCTTTTTACCTTTTTTTAAGAAAGACACATTGCTAAGTGTGTAGGAACTCAATGGATTTGTTACAGAGCTACCTGCCTTCTTATTCCCAGCAGCGGTCTTACATTTCGAGAGCCTCCACGCCAGCTGGCACCAGCCCAAGGCCCCTTGATCCTTAGATAGTGGCGCACATGCGCCTGCAGTCTTGGGACCTCTCCGTTGGGGGTGCACATCTGGAGCGGCATTATGTACTCTGATAACATGGGAAGTGCTGTGGGGCACTTCACCCAAGTGAAAAGAAAGGCCGGGCCGAGGGTGTGTGCGTAATGGTTATCCAGAGGATGCAGACGTTCAAGTGACGTTTTTAAAGGTCCACATAGAGTGTTTGGCCATGTTATCCACAACTGAAATCCGCTTTTTCAGGCATGTTGTTTGACCTGTACAGGCTTTAAAAAAAATTGAGCCAACAAGTAGGGACGGTTCTACGTAAGTATTCAGGCCCTTGGCTCCTTCTGACCCAGGGCGCAGCCTGGCCCCTCAGGCCGTCAGCGCTGGTCGCTTGGTCCTGGGCCCGCTCAGTGGCCCCGTGCTGCCTACCCTGCGGGCTGCTGGGTGGCACCGGGTGACCGGGTGAGCCCTGTCCCTGTCAGCAAGGAGGTCTGCACGGTGCAGGTCCACGGTGCGCGTCTGCGTGCGTGGGAGTCAGCCCTGACCTGCCACCCAGAGCGAGGCTCTGTCACCCCTTCGCACGTCTTTCACGTGTGGCCGTGTGTGCGTCCATGCGTGCGCAGTGCACAGATACGGGGTAGGCCTGCAGCCTAGATCTTCTTCAAACACCTTAAGTGAAGAATAACTGACACGCAGTAAACTGAGTGTATTTAAAGGACAGTTTTACAAGTTTTGACGTTTGTAGTCTCCCATCACCGTACTGTTACAATAAAGAAGCGCGCGTCCCTGTTCCGCCCAACGGTTCCTCGTCCCATGGGCCCGCGGACTGGGCCCCACACCAGGCAGCCCCGGTCTGTTTTGTGCCATCGAGAGCAGTTTGCATTTTCTGGAATCTCTAGTGTGCAGGGGGCTTTGTTTTTCACGATTGAGATCGTACAGCTGTGCATGTTCTGCTTGGTAGCGGAGCTGCGAAGTCTATGAGGCCGCCCTCTTTCTTATGTTTGTTGTCGTTTGTATTCAGTGAGGTGTCCGTTTCCTGTCCCAGTTTTCTCTCCGGGGGCTTCTCTTGGCTTCTGTGAGCTCCTCATTTGTTACCATGTTTTTCATCATCATTAGAAATGGTCTCCAGTTTGTGTTGCCGCCTTTATAATCGCAAGTCACACACAGACACAGGGAAGTCTCAGTACTGACCGAGTTTTGCAGCCCCGTCCCCCGCGAGGCGGCCGTGTGCGTGGCTTGGGGAGCGTGAGTGATTGGAGTCCGTGGTGCCTCATCCACCCCAGCCGTCCAGGTGCCGTGCGGGGGTCCGAGGGCAGCCGTTGCGCGGACCGGACCGCCCGCTTAAGTGCGTTTCCTAGGGCTCTCAGCCACCGTCGACCATGTTGCTGGCACCTTGCTGTGAATTTCCCTTTTCCCTGTCAAATGGCCTCGTTTATCCTAGAAACTGGCAGGTTGGTCCGGCCGCACCTGGGTCCTTGCCTCCTTTTGCAGAGACTTGCAATGAGACTGTGTTCCCTGTTTTCTTTCAGGTCCGTGGCTTTGGGGAGGGGCTGTGAGCATCCCCCCCGCCTGCGGGATGGGAGCAGAGAGCAGTGCTCTTCAGAGCTGTGTGCTGAGGGGGCCGCCGGTCACCCTGCCCTCTGGAGTCGCCGTGTTCCCCGCCGAGCTGCAGGATGGCAGAGCCGCGTCGGTCTTTGTGTACAAGAGGGAAAACGAGGACAAGGTCAACAAGGCCGCCAAGGTACGTGGGGTGACCCCGTCATAGTTAGTCCTTTGTGCTACGAAAAATACGAAGTGAATAAAGGCCAAGGGAGAGGGGGCACAGGCATAGTATTTTTATTCATGGCCTTTGAAAACCTAGTTGTCCTGACTTCCCGGGAGGATCCCCCACTGGCCTGACCTGGTCGAGGACCACAGGCACGGTCAGCGAACGTCAGCGAGCGCAGAGGGGTGGCGTTCCCCGTCCTCTCTCGCTTTGCAATGAGAAGGTGGGGAGGGGACGTAACGTCGCCAGTGCAGACAAAGGGGGTTCACCTGGCTTGACACAGGCGCTCCGGTAGCGACAGCATCTTACTAGTGTATTGACGGTGGCCTGGACATAGAATGTTTTAGGAACTGTAACTCCAACTTCTTTTCCCGGGCATCACGGCGCGGCGGGCACGTAAAGGCAGAGTGTGCGTCCATCCTTGTCTCCGATTGGCACTCGGGAGGAAGCAGTCTTCCTGAGCTGCCTGGCTCTCCAGGGAGCCTCTTGGTTTTGTGTTGTATTTCTTACGCAGCGTGAAGTGATGGTTTCTTCCCATCTACGAACCTGCAGGTGAATGCGGCTACAGTCAGGGCCCCTGCTTTGTGCAGTTTTCAAAGGGAAACAGTAAGTCAGGTAGAACAGCCATGAACAGGGAGCCCCTCGGCCTGAGCCAGTTCCCTGCGTCCTGAGTCTTCACTGGCTCCTGAGAAGCAGGCCTCTGGTCAGGGCCAGACCTCGGGCTCCGTGTGGGTTGGCAGGCATCCTGGCCGGTCGTCTCGTCGCGCCCGGGAGAGGTCCCTACCCGGGTCCTTTTCCATAGACCAGCGCCTGGGCAGTGACGGGGTGGAGCAGGTCTTCAGGAACTCGGGGGCGGATACTTTCTAGGTGCCGTCATTCAGTCACAGTCACCGTTCTCCACCAGAGCCAGCGTCGATGCCCATAGAGAAGCCATCGGAGTTACAGGCAGCAAGTGCACCCTGCCGCTCCCTCTGTTCTCTGAGGCGGCAGAAGCTCGAACCGGGAAGGGGGCCGCCCGCTGCTCGCTGCTCGCCCCTCCCTGCGTCTGCGTGCGGAAGGCAGGCGCGCCTGTGCCGCCTGTGCCGGAGCGCAGCCCGAGTCAGGTCCTGGCTGGGAGTCGGGCACTGGGTCTGTCCTTCCTGGAATGGACGCACAAGGAGGTGCTTTGGACCTAGAGTGTTTCTGGGTGTGTAGGGTTAAAAAATAAACGAGCAAAAGTGAAATTTACTTTTTCCTTTATGAATCAGACGAGCGTTAGTGGACTGGATCCCCCGGCCCGCACAGAACCAGGCCGCCCCCGACCCCTTGCCCTGCCCGGAGCCCCTGGAGGAGGCCAGGGGAAGGCGCCCAAAGCCAGAGGAGGGCCCTGAGAGGCTGGGGCGGAAAAGCCGAACGAAGGCTTTTTCCCGGAGGCACAAAGGAAGGGGGCCTGCCCGTGGGGTGTCTCCCCCAGACGCTGGCCCCCCCGCCCCCGTAGTCTGCATGCCTTCCTGCACTTCGCTGCACCCTAAGGCCGCTGCTCTCGGGGCGGTCTGTTCACGGCTCGGAGCAGCCAGCAGGCGGCCACGCTCCCACTGCTCCGGTGGGAGCGGAAGCCTGTAGCGTCGCTCCGGGCAGCAAGCAGAGAGTCTCCTTTGCTTTATTGGAATTTTGGGGGGTGATGGAGGGAGGGAGGGACCTTGAGAGCACGTTTGCGTGTCCTGACTTTTCCTGTGGCATGTGCGAAACGACAGTGAGTGTGGTTCGAGTCATTAACGTGGGACACGTCTGTTTGTTCTTCAAGCACTTGAAGACCCTTCGTCACCCGTGCTTGCTGAGGTTCTTATCGTGCTCGGTGGAGGCTGACGGCATCCACCTGGTCACCGAGCGGGTGCAGCCTCTGGAGGCAGCCTTGGGAGCACTGTCCTCCGCGGAGGTCTGCGCGGGGATCTACGACATCCTCCTGGCTCTGATCTTCCTTCACGACAGAGTGAGTGCCTGGGCCCAGGAGCCCGCGGGGGCGGGGGCGGGGGAGGACTGTGAATTAGGCTGCGTATAGAAGTCATAGGTTCTGTCCTCCCTGGCAAGCTTCCCCAGGGAAAAGGTCTGAGGGGTTGGGGAGGGAGCCCAGCATCAGGGCAGCTAGTTGCAGACTTTATTTCCCTTTACTAGCCCGCCTCCAGCTCCCTAGCCTCCCTCCAGGTCCCTAGCCCGCCTCCGGGTCCCTAGCCTCCCTCCGGGTCCCTAGCTGCCCTCCAGGTCTCTAGCCTCCCTCTAGGTCTCTAGTTGGCCTCCAATGTTGGATAAGTCTGCACGTCAACACTGAGGTAAGTACAGCAACAGCTGGTATTTGTTGCAGAGACAGAAAGTCAGGCATCGGTGCCGCTGTGGACCAAAGTTCCTCTCCTTTTTCAATAGTTTCATTCCATGTTCAATGTTGGAGAAAGAAACGATTGTTTGTTAGAAAGAGGCAGTTTTACGCACCTCTTCGCATTCCAGTAGGTGGTACCAGTGAGAGACCCCCTCCCGACCCGGTGGCTTCGGTTGCCGTTGGGGATGGAGTAGCCCTTCCTGCGTGTTGCCGGGCGGATTCTGGCCGGGTCGGGAGCCGCTGCTGCTTAGCGGAGCTCACGCTGTGCTCGGCGGGGCCGTTGGCAGCCCCCCGAGGTTAAAACAGCAGTCGCACGGTAGATACACTTGGATTTGACTCAACCTGATGTGTCATTTTAAAATTTTTTCTATTAAATTTTTAATAGGGAGACAGACTCTCTAAATATCACTTTATCTTCTCTTAAAAGTGTGTCTGAGGTGCGCATGGAAGAATTCATAATGCTCCTCTGGGGAGGAATGTTTCCTCTGGTGGAGAAAGTACACGCACGTGGTAAAGAGTCCGCATAGGGCAGCGAGCGCCGAGGGAGAAGGCGGCGCCTGGCCCCCCCTGAGTCCGTGTCCCCTTCCACGCGGTACCCGGACGCCAGTGCAGGGAAGTCCGTGTGCGGGTGAAGCCGACCTGCGTGCACTCATCTCCGTTTTCCTCCCGGGGAAGCAGATCATCTGCCCTATTCTAAACCTTCCTTTGAAATAGACACTCCTTGTAGTGTTTTATATAAAAATGGATACACATTTGCTCTACTGGATAAAATGTTTAAAATGTACTTGTTTACTGAAATGATTTCTGGTTTGGAAAAGAAAACTTGCACTTCATTCGCTTCTCATCCGCTTCTTCCCTGGTACTCAGTGGACTGGGCCGTTGCAGTTTTGAACTCGGACCTGCTCTGGTCTGTGAGATTCCTGGTCATCCTTATCATTCCGTTTCCTCTTCTTCAGGCAGGATTTTTAATGCCTTCTAGAGCAAGATTTCTGGTGCCATGGGTCTGGGTTTGTGGTAAAATGTGGGCGGGAAAGAATTGAGGAGGAAATTAAATCAGGAAGCTGTGGGAACAAAAAGAAATGTGATCTTCAACCCAGCCTTGGTTGTGGCTGACCTGAGAGGTACAAACTAACTCTTTTCTGGAATATTGTTATATGTATCGGGTGCATAGGTTTAAAGTCATGACTAGCTTGAATGTTATGGCTTAACATTAGTCACCTACAAACGCATATGCACCCAATATATGTAACAATATTTAAGAAGAATGTATCTCTCAGATCGGCAGGGCTAAAGGCGTAGGAAGCCAGTGGATAGGTTCCAAAGATCAGTGAATCCCGGCTTACGGACTCGCAGGAACGGGGTGTGCAGGGACCAGCCTCTCCAGGCTGGGGGAGGTGACAGCAGCCTCCATGCGGCGTCTTGCCGTTTCTAAGCTCAGCGCTGGAACAGCTCCTTCCGCTCCTCCGCCGGTCCCTCCTTAACGCCGGACTCCATTTGGGGGCCACACGTGGGAGGACTTGCCAGGCCTTCTTTTTAGGGATTAGTATTTTGTTTTCTAAAGCTTCGACCTCAAACGGTGGAGTGGCAGACTTCTTCCTGCTCCTTTTCCCCAGGGACACCTGACACACAACAACGTCTGTTCATCGTCTGTGTTTGTGAGCGAAGACGGGCACTGGAAGCTCGGCGGGATGGAGACGGTCTGCCAGGGGTCGCAGGCCACCCCGGAGGTGAGCGCGGCCGCCTGCGCCCAGGGCCTGAGGGCAGCCGGCGCTTCCATCAGAGGGTTGGCTTGGGGGGCCCGCCCTTCTGTCAGCGCTCATCTTCCGGGAATTTCAGGGATTTGTTCTTCAGAGGGGACGGGAGTCATTGATTCTCTTCTCCTCGCTGGATAGCTGAGGAGCCTGAGGCTGAGAGGTAACAGGTCTGGGTCAGATTTTCACTTCAGAGCCCCTCCTTTCCGCTCCTGCCCGAGTGACACCTCGTCCTGTGGGAAGTTGAAACGACCAGGAGGTGCTTGTCTTCTGTACCAGGCCTGACGGCGTCTTCTGTTTATCTCTGTAGCTCCGCCCAGAACAGTGCTGGGTGCGCAAGAAACTAGGGAGTCGAGAACCATTCGCTGCACAGTTGTATGTGCCCTCTGAGGTCACGCACTCTGCCCTAAGGCCTGAAAGGAGCGCCCGTGCACCCCCAGGCCTCGCAGTGAAGGGCAGCGTGGGCCCTTCACTAATCCTGCTGACACAGGCTCTCTGTTCTCTGTCTGGTCCCTTGCTGCCACGAGATTTTTTCTCTGTGAGAAGAGGAAACCCCCTCCTACTGCAGGAGCCGCGCCCTGTTCCCATGTGTGTGGCCCCTCTGGCCAGTGCTTTGCGGGACACACCCCAGACCCTGCAGGGTGAGGGAGACGGCCTGCCCGGCCCTGCCCCAGCGCACCTCGAGCTCCACCCATGCTGTGCCGCCCGCAGTGGCCTTGGGCCTGCAGGTTCCTTCGCCCCGCCCCCCACCCGGTGGCCTCAGGCCTGCAGGTTCCTTCGGCGCCTCCCCCCGCCACCCGGTGGCCTCGGGCCTGCAGGTTCCTTTGCCACCTCCCCCCCCAACCCGGTGGCCTCGTGCCTGCAGGTTCCTTCAGCGCCTACCCCCGCCACCCGGTGGCCTCGGGCCTGCAGGTTCCTTTGCCACCTCCCCCCCCAACCCGGGGGCCTCGTGCCTGCAGGTTCCTTTGCCGCCCCGCTGGCCCCCGCCGCCATGTGGCCCATGGCAGGGAGCCGGCCTTGCCACGGGCTCTCTGGGAAAGGGGAGAGCAGCGTGAGCATAAGGCGCCGCCCAGTGCCCTTGGCGAAGCCCTCCCTGGCGCCCCCCCAGGCCCTCGCAGGTGTCGCTGAAACTCAGTTTACGCGCTAGGCTGTGCGCACCTGCGGGGGCCGGGAGTTGGCTGCTTTCACGTTACAGTCCTAGTGTCCTGGACGGGGTTTCCACCTTGATTTCAGGGGAAGAATGTGCTGCTGTTGGTTTTGTCTCAGTAGCTTAGAAACCCTCAGCTCCCCCATCTCGTGGGGCAGCGAGGTCAGTGACAGGCTTGTTCTCTGCCCCGAAAGCCCTTTGCTTGTTGACATCTGTGCGGATGAGAAAGAAGGTTCCAGGTTTCCACGTGGGAGATGCAGGGGGGCCTCTGAGCAGCGAGGGTCTGCCAGGCCAGCCGGAGGGGAGCGGGGAGGGCGGCCCGTCCCTGCTGCAAGCCCTGCGCTGCGCCAGGCCTGCCTTTCCTCCCGTGTCAGAAGGGCTTCTGATTCTGTGCTGGGTGTGCGGTGGCCGTCAGGCGCGTGGCCGCGGGGGGGGCGGCTTCCTGGCGCCACCGCTCCATGGCCGTCGCTTGTCGCCGTCATAACTTGCTGGCAGAGGTGGGTTCCCCAAACATTGGTGTGAATTCTTCTCAATCTGCTTCTCTCTCCAGTTTCTGAGGAGCATTCAGTCAGTGAGAGACCCGGCCTGCATCCCCCCGGAAGAGATGGTAAGATGGTACCCCTCGTTCTTTGTGTAACTGAGTGTGAGACCTAAACCGAACCGTCCGTCTGCCACCTGGTTCTCTGCTGGATGGCAGAGGCCCCTCATTCTCTGTCCTTCAAGGCTCCTGACAGTCGCCTTGTCACCACAGGCGACCTTTTCTTGACATTCAGCTCACACTTTGGTCACAGAGACACCTGTGACATTGTTTAAAGATGGAGGGACCTCCATCCTTCATGTGGAATCTAAAGAACAAAATCAGCGGGCAAGCAAAATAAAAAACAGACTCATAGATACGGGGAACCGCCAGAGGCGCGGGGGTTGGGGCACTGGGTGCAAGAGGTAGAGGGATGAAGAAATGAGGGTCGGTGGCTGCGGAGTCGTGCCAGGGGCGTAAAGCGCAGCAGAGGGGACCCAGTCAAGGCCCTGTAATGGCTGCGGAGCGTCAGGTGGGTCCTGGGAGTGCGGGGCAGGGGCGGCGCTTCCGAACGTGTACGATGGGCTGTGTCCCTGACCCTGATACGATGTTGAATGTCACTGTAACTGAAAACAGAAATTTAAAAAAACGAAGACAAGGGGACCTTGGTGTGAACAAGGTGGGCACTTCGTCCCTCTTCATGGTGTCTGCGCTTCGGGGGCGGGGGAAGGGGTTGGCTCCCAGCCACCACCCCGCGCGGCCGGCCTGGCCTCCGGCTGGGGCCCCGAGAGGCACGCGGCGTGACTGAGCGTCGCAGCCGTGGTGCTGCTGGGAGAAAACAGCCGGGTTTACCTATGCGGCTGAAGGCACACGCGCCCATCCTTGAAATGACCATAAGTTAAAATAAAGCTGAAAGCAGTTGCTCTCTTTAAATATATCTTACAACTACGGTAAACGGTTGACCCCAAAGACGCATTCGATGTGCTGTCCAGGAATACAAACCCAGCCAGCAACGGAAACCCAAGACTTAAAATAAATCAGGCGTACCCAAATCAGCACTGTGTGTATATACTAGTGTTGTTTTAACTGATGATATGCGGGTTTGAATAAATTTAAAGGTCCAACTAGCATTTGGAGTAAAAAAAAAAGAAACAATTATTGAGCATCTTAGGTAATGATGATCAGTATTGCTCTGTGGAACTTTTGTTTCTGTTACGTGTGTGTTTATACATATGATAGTGGAGGAGGAGGAGGAGGAAGCACTGTTCAGCCTGGCTACTGCCAGACATACTCTGAGAGCCACAGACAGCAGGGGCCTGTAGGTTGGAGCGAGACAGCCGGTGGCCAACTCTGAGCACAGCCAGGGTGAGGAAGGGGCGAGGGCTCCCAGCGAGGTCAGCGCTTCGGCCCTGACGGCCTCTCCTGCTTCCAGGCTCCAGAGTTCACCGCCCTGCCCGAGCCCCATGGACACGCGCGGGACGCCTACTCCTTCGGGGTGCTGGCGGAGCGGCTGCTCACGGCCCTGAGTGGACAGGGTGAGTGGCGCTGAAACGCTGCGTCCACAGGACGAGCCGGGCCTGCCCTTGGCCTGTGCCGCGGGGCCCGAAGGCCTGCAGACGCCCGCTGCAGCGAGGACCTGCCCACCCGCCCGGGACCCACGTGGGCAGATCCGAACCACAGCGAGGAGCGGAGCCAGAGTTTCTTTACCTCGGTTGGAAGCACTTGACCTCTGGCTGCCAGAGGCACAGAATGCACCCGCCGGCCGGTGCAGCTGGTTAGGCAGGGGGAGGCTCTGCAGCGGCCCGTGGGCAAGCGTGGGGAGCTGGGGGGACTGTATCTGTGCTCACCAGGCGATGAGAGTAAGGCTCAAAACCTGTTACTCATTTCAAACACGTTCACCTTCTTTTGAGTTTTTTTATTTTGCTATTACTTACTCATTACCTTTTCCGTTTGTTGCCCCTCGAAGCCCAGACTTTTTCTCCTCTGCGTCCCCTGGTGGCCCCTCGGCAGCCCACGTCGCTGTCTGCCAGCCACTCCAGGCCTCCAGTGTCACCCCGGGGTGCCCAGCCCGTCGGCCCCGCACCGGCCTGCGCCCCCACTGCTGTGGCGTCGTGCAGCCCCGCCCCGTCTCACCCCTAGGCCCTGGCTGCAGCCTGGGGCAGCGGGCGTGCTCCGCGGTCAGCCGGTGGCCGTCCATTGTCCCAGCCTCAGTCCCCAAAAGGGGGCCCCAGTGGCCCTGGGCCAGCCCTGCGGGTGGGGGCTCCTGCTCCCCACACGTCTAGAGTGGAGGTGGCCCTGTGCCACCCTCAGGAACTCTGAGAATGTCGTCCTCCCGTAAGAGTCGGCAGCGTGCCGAGGGGCCACCCTGGCGGCCTCCTTCAGTCCCCAGCCAAGAGAAGGGACAGTCAGGAAAGGAGGGGGCCCAGCAGGGGAGGTGCGAGGGGGTGGGCTCCTCCGTGGGCAGGGCTGGTGGGACAGCTTCCTACACCTGCCAGGGAGTTCGGCTTAAGGACTGGAAGCTGTTTCGCAACAGCCAGGGCTTTGTCTGTTTGGGCTTTTACAGGTTGGTTTTTGCTCTCGTCAGTCTGCAGCTAGAGAGGCCCTGAAAGGAGGTGGAAGCCTTGGAAACTAACTGTAGCTCTGGATTTCAGTTTCAGCGGACGCTCTCTGCAGCTTCCGACAGACCCTGCACTCAGCCTTGCAGAATCCCATCCCTCAGCGCCGGCCCGCGCTCCGCACCTTACTGTCCCATGACTTCTTCAGGTGAGGGGCCTGGCAGGCCACGCTGCCTGCTGCCACTGGCCTGCCGTCCGCGCCGCTCCCATGGGGCAAATGCAGCAGCTGCTCTTGTTAGTTGGGAGAAACTGAGTCGTTCCACGTGGGAAGCAGAAGTTGGGCTCCCTCTCAGGTCCTGCCACAGGCGGAAAGCTTTAGAAGTCTCGTCGTCAGAGGGTCCTTAGGGCTTCTGATGGGGCAGAAGCCAGGCTGTGGCCTGGGGCTTAGTTGGATTAATTGAGAAAGTTAAAAAAAGTGGCCTCTCCTTTCTGCCGCCATTGTATCATCAGATGAGTTTGTTGTTGGAATTTTCCTGCTGGGGCGGAAGGGAGCTCCCTTTTCTTCAGGCCGAAGGTGGCCTTCTGAGCTCAGTGAGGCGCGCTGGGGCCCCAGAGCAGTGCGCCTGGAGGGGGACACAGAGCCGCCGCTCCTGGGCCTCTCGAGGTCGGTCTCAGTTGTGTGTCCCTGAGTTTGTTACTTCCATGAACTTCGGCTCAGGCTAATTCCACGTTCATGACCTGTGTTAGCAGGGCCACGCCTGGGTCAGTTTTGAAACAAACTTACTTGCAGTCAGAGAGCCTAAGAAAAATGGGAGTGAAGGGAAAGCTGATGCTACGCCTGGGAGGGAGGTGGTGCCTTCAGGATAGGCCGGGGGCGGGTCTTATAAACAGGCAGTTATCAGGGCCAAAAATAGGGTTTTATTTGGCATTTGTTTCCGAGAAACTGTTCCAACCTTGGCCTCACAGGAGCCTTTACCACAGTGAGACCATGTCCTTCGGGTGATCCGTAGTGGTGTTTTAAGTGCCTTGATATACAGTAGATTCACTCGTCACTGTGTGTGATGAGAGTCTCCAGGGGCAGAGGAAAGCCAAGAACACACGCCTGCCCCCGCTCCCGCAATCCCGTGTCCCACAGGTGGGGAGAAAACCCAGCCAGAGAGCGGGTCGGGGCAGCCGAGCAAGTGTGATGAGACTAAAGTTAAGACACATGGGCTTTGTCTCGGCTACTGAGCCAGCGGGAAACGGGGGTTAAGAGCAGGACACAGACCCCAGGCCTCTCCCCAGAGGGCAGGGCACAGGGCACGGGGACGGCAGCAGCCTCGGCTCACTGGCCCTGCAGGAAGCTGGCCACCCCTCACCCTCGTCCGTGCCCGGAGGGGAGAGGGTCCACAATGTAGGGCAGGAGAAGCAAGAAGATCCCTGTGACTTCCCGTAAGTTTTTCCTTCAGCAAAGGACCTGAGAAGCAACAACCCTTTTGTAATGGAAACCATTTCTTCCATATGCTTCATGTGACCACATCCCACTACAGCAGAAAACTATGGACGGTTATGATTATTAAAACCACAAACTTTGTTAGCCTTTGTGTGCACACACGTGTTTATGCATGCATCCTCTTCATGCACCTCTGACATTCTTAACGTTGGATGCACTGTGGGCTTGTTCCATAGTATTTGCCTCGTGAGCTACTTAGAACAGAACCTTCTACTCGGGCCAGGAGAGTGTCCCTGTGTGAAATACCATCGTGGTGTAGCCTGTGGTTATGGCTTCAGTAGTTAACATGTCTTCTCTAATCTATTGTCCTGAATATTTTTTCTTTTTGGCATTTAGGAATGATTTTCTAGAAGTTGTGAATTTCTTGAAAAGCTTAACGTTGAAGAGTGAAGAGGAAAAAACTGAATTCTTTAAGTAAGTTCAGAACGTTAACACCTTCAAATTCAGTAACTTGGCCTGAGTCCTTGAAATCCTCAGGTGACCAGGGGCGACAGGCAACCTGCAAATGAGGTTTATTGAACGCTCCTCTGTAGGGCTCCCGGCTGAGCCCTGGGATGCGAGGCTCCAGTGAGGGAGGCAGATGGAGACAGGCGGCCCTTGAACAGTGACGGAGCTGGCAGGGGCGTCCGGGGGTGGGGAGGGTGGGTGTTCCAGGCACAGCAGCAGTGTGCATGGTACCCAGAGCTACAGTTGGTTTTGTGCTTGCCTGGGCGACAGCTCCTGGGTCCTGTGGGGGACACATTCCAAGACCCGGACAGGCGAGAGGAGGGCACCCTTGTACGCGGCAGTGCAGAGCACGCGCCTGGGCTTCAGGCCTTGACGCTGACCATGGAGGGACACCGGTGGTAGAGGGGTCCCGTGTCCCAGAGGTGAGGCACAGGCTCACCCTGCCCCAGACTTGGATTCGACGGGCTGACCGCTCCTACCCACCCCACCCGCCCCCCGCGCCACACCCGCGGGGTCCAAGCAGGAAACGCGAAGCCATGTGTACGAAGACACCAAGAAAGACTTAAAAGGTGCAATGGCAAGACTTGGTGATTGTCACCAAATGAACGAGCCTTTGTGCAGAGGACAGAACGTGCAGGGAAGAGAGTGGGTTGGGAGGGCAGCAGGGTCAGGGGCCTGCGGGCCTTTGGAGGAGACATGCACAGGCCCAGGAGGGCGGTTGAGTTTCAGGAAAGGCCTAGGCTGATGGGCTGGCGAAGACCATTAGGGTTCATCACCGAGCCTGTACTCGGTGATGTTCTCCCGGAGAGAATGGGGGCAAGAGCAGGGCAGTGGACCCAAATTGTGACCTGGGGACCCGCCCTGGCAAGGGCTGGCTGAGGAGCGAGAGGAAGGTGTGGAGCCCTCACAGATGAGGCAGCCGCTGGGCAGAACCTCCTCCGGCGGAGGCCGGTGGAGGGAGAATGGAGCGCTGCCGAGGGAGGAGTGGGGTCTGGTGGCCGTCTCAAGGCTGGAAGTGGTGGGGACAGGAGAGGACGGGCCGCGGAAGCTGCAGTCAGGCTTGGGACTGTCAGAGGTCCTGGATGGAAGTCTCGGACAGCAGCCGAGAGGAGGGTCCTGAAGTAAGGGGAGGCCCTGCCACCCTGGGTGCCTGGAAGGGGCACGGGGCTGAGCGGGGACATGGACGGACCTGCTAGTGGACAGCGGCCTGGCCCTGGCGTAGCAGAGGCGGGGCTGTCTGTGGAGGCCTGTTGTTTGGACCCTGAATACCCGACAGCGGTGCCCTTGGCCCTGAGCACTTGTACAGGCCGTGTTTTCATTTGAAGTTTAGTTACAAAAACTGTGTTCAGTTTACTGTGGGACGTGGACGATCCACTTAGGGAGCGGGAGGCGGGCCAGGGGTGGGGAGTCACCACCAGCTCTGGCCCCCGCCTGCCCGCAGGTTCCTGCTGGACAGAGTCAGCTGCCTGCCCGAGGAGCTGGTCGCTGCCCGGCTGGTGCCCCTGCTGCTCAACCAGCTGGTGTTCGCGGAGCCTGTGGCTGTTCGGAACTTCCTTCCCTATCTGCTCGGCCCCAAAAAAGGTGACTCGTTTTTCAGACCGATACGGGCAGCTGAGGGGTTTGGGGATCACCCGGCTGCATCTCTGCAGGGTGTGGCAGCCGCGGGCCGAGTCGGTGGGTGCGGGCCCCTGGAAACCCGGGCTCCACGGCAGCGCCCAAGCCAGCAACGTGGGCGTGGTGCGGCGTCCGAGTCGGACGTGCTGCGCTTGGCGCCATTGCGCACGCCGTGCACGCCACGCACGCGTGCGCACACGCACACGACCGCCGACTGACGGCGCAGGGAGCCGCAGGGTGGGGCCGGCTGCGTGCCTGGGAGCTGCCGAGCCTGCGCCCGCAGACCCCAGGGCTCCGCTAGATTCCTCTTCCAGCGGCAGGACGGGAAGCACGGCGGTTGCTCGCTTCTTGGGACTTTGTTTTTTTTTCCTGAACGGGAGACGAGGAGCTGGCCGAACTCTTAAGGGCAGCAGGGGGGTGACACATCAGGTTAGAGAGCTGGCGCCAACGTGGCTGGAAGGCCGAGCTGGGGAGACTCCTGCTGTGCACATTCATTTTCTGAGACAACCTCAGTCCGGCCTAGGAGCCCCACGGGACCGGCGCAGCCAGAGGGCGTCCTTCTGTGCCGCTGGAGGTCGCCCGCGCCGCCGCCCGAGCACACCCGATTACTCGGTAGATCCTAGGCGGGGGTGCTCCCGAGTCCCCCGGGGCTTTTTTAAAGATTTGCCTGTGTGCCTGGCCCCCTGGTTCTGGGACAGCCAGGGCAGAGGTATTGTATCTTTTTTTAAAAGGACTTTATTTTTAGAGAACAGAGAAGGGAGGGAGAAAAGGGTGGAAACATCCATGTGTGGTTGCCCCTCCCGCACTCCCTACAGGGGACCTGACCCCCAACCCAGGCACGTGCCCTGACTGGGACTTGAACCGGGACGCTTTGGTTCGATCCACTGAGCCCCGCCAGCCAGGGGCCAGGGCCCGCGTCTACTTTAAAGGTTTCCACCCCGTAGCTGCGGGGCAGGGAGAGTTGTCCGGCACCTCATGGTTTTACCGATACAATTGCAGCAACGGTGTCGGTCGGATGTCTGTAAGATTCCTCACTGATTAAGCACAAGTGTACAAGTTATTGATTCAGGGTTCTGCTTAAATATAAGCTTTCCTTGTAGACCGTGAAGAACGGTGCAGCATCTTTAAAACACTTCCGAAGAGTAGAGGGTTTTCATAACCCAGCCTCCAGAGGGGAGTCGGGGTGACGGAGGGCCTATTGCCACTGGGGGTGGGGCCGGAGGCGTCAGGAGCTGCGGAGGGGTCGGGGTCGGGGTCGGGGGCCGGTCCGGCGGGTGGAGCGTCCCGGCCGCGCCCCCGCACTGACTCGCGCTTGTTCTTTCCTCTGCCGGCCTGCGCCCTGGGCAGCCGGGGGGACCGCGTGCCTGCTGTCGCCGGCCCTGTTCCGGGCGCGGGTGGTGCCCGTGCTGCTGCGGCTGTTCGAGGTGCACGAGGAGCACGTGCGCCTGGTGCTGCTGTCCCACCTGGAGGCCTACGCGGAGCACTTCACGCGCGAGCAGCTACGCACCGTCGTCCTGCCGCAGGTCAGAGCGCGCGGGCGGGCGCCACGGGCGGGGGAGGTGGCGCTGGTCCGGGCAGCGGGCAGAGGGAGGGCTCCGGCGCCACCCCGTTCCCAAGGCCCGCGTTAGACTCACGCATCTGGGCGCGACCTGAGAGAAACGCCGGCCAGTCCGGTGCTGACCTGGGGGCAGGGGAGCGGGCGTCCCCGCAGGTGCTTCGTGAGCGCAGCCCCTGGGCTCGGCTGTTGTGAAGCAGCCGCTGCGCCGGAGAGGGAGGGGGGCGGCGGGCGTCCGCGCTTCCGGCCTCGGTCGGGCCGGGGCTGCGTCAGGCTCCGCCCCTCCAGGGCTCCGGTGGGCGCTGGTTTCCTGGGACCGGGGGAAGGTTCTGGAAGCAGAAGTGCCGACTCGAGGGGCGGCGGGCGGTGAGCCCTTCCTCCGCTCGAGCCCTGGCGCCCCGGGCAGCCCCCGGCCGCTCCGGCCTTCGGGCCGCACTCGGGCTCCGCGTCTGCGGCCGCGTGGCGTTTGTGTGAGGGGCGCTGGCGGGAGGGCCCCGCGAACCCTGCGGGACCCCATTTTAAGGGCGCGTTATGGGTGGGCGTGCATTTTTGAGAGGCTGTTCAGCTCACTGCGTTTTAAAGATGGTGTCAGTCGCGTGAAACCTTTGAAGTGCTTCGTCCTGCCAGCGGCTAAGCTGCGTAGAAGCTGCATTTTACAAACAGTATTAACTGCGGTTGTACAACGCAGTGGTTGCACTTTTCGGTGACGGAGAAAGCGACCCCCGGTGACAAGCCCCCGCCTGTGGTAACTACCAACCCGCGCTGCGCGGTGCCCCTGCCCCCGCCCCCGCCCCGCGGCCCTCGGCGGGTCCCCGCATCTGCGGGCTTTCGTCCGTCGCTGGTTTGGTGCCCGGGGAAGCGCGGTCGTGTGGCGTCAGCCTCTGACCCGCCCGCAGCCCCTCGCTGCCGACGGAAAGCCCTGTCCCGCGGCCGGGCGCCTCTCTGCGTGTGGCCCGCAGCGGCCTCCCCCGCGCCCGTGTCGGGGCTACTGTAAGTAACGCCGCCGTGGACACAGGGGCGCGTGTCTCCTTCTGAACCCGTGTTTTGTATTTTTTCGGATAAACACCCGGTAGTGAAATGGCTGAGTCGCGTGGTAGCTCTGTTCCTGATTTTTGCGGGGCCTCCCCACGGCTCCGCACGGCCCTGGCCCGGCTGCGTTCGCACCGGCAGCTGCGGGGGCCCCTCTTCCCCGGGGTCTCGCCGGCGCTGCTCGTTCGCTGGGTTTCCGTTGACGGCCGTCCTGACAGGTGTGAGGCGAGGCGACTGCGCGGTACCGCGCGGTGGTGGTCTTCGCATTCCTCCGATGACCAGCGCTCCTGCCGAGCGTCCTTTGAGTGCCCGTTGGCCACCTCTGTCCTCGCAGAGCAGTGTCTGCTCCCGCTTTGCTGCCGCCCGATTATCCGGCGGCCCGTGTTCTCGGCCTTCGGCCGCGCGGGCCTGTGGCCGCTGCGCAGCCGCGGAGCTTCGGGCGGTTTCACCTGCTGACCGGGGGCGGGGCGGGGCGGGGGCGGGGCCGGTGGGCGGGGCCGGGGCGGGGCGGGGCCGGGCCTTGGGCGGGGAGCCCTGCGCGACGTCGGCGGTGTGTGGTATGGAGTGTACAGCTGAAACCGCTGTGACTTTGGTAACCAGTGTCACCCCGTAAGCTCAGTACAGTTCTTTTAAAAGCCGGCAGCACGAGCCAGACCAGCCGTCGATGAGGAACAGTCGCAGAAGGAGGTTCGGGTCAGGGCCCGAGAAGGGCGGCGGGGGGTTTCGGAACCAGCGAGTGGGGCCCGCGGTGCGGGCCAGGCTGCCGGGCCGGACGCGGTGCCCGTTGGCCGGGCTGGGGAGGCGCCGCAGAAGAGCAGGGGCCCGTGCTGGCAGCCCGTCCTGGGGGAAGCCGCCCCGCTGGCCGCACAGCCCCGCTTCCCCTGTGCCCCTGGCCCTTCCCCGCTGCCCTTCGCTGTGGCTCAGGGTGTCCGCCTTTCAGGGTGCTGTTTGGGGGGTTGGCCGGGCGGAGCTTCAGTGCCCTGCATCCAGTCTCTGGGCCCGTGAGTCCTGGGGCCTCCTGCGCTGTCACCGCGGCGGGTCCTGGCCCCGAGCGGGCTCCTGACGTTGTGTAGGAAAGGGAAGCACGAGTCCACGTGGCTCAGGAGGCATTAAGGCTGGGGACAGGGGAACGAGGGAGGGCCCAGCGCCGAGGAAGCAGCAACAGGAGAGCCCGGGCTGGGCGGCCTGAGCTCACTGGGAAGTCAGCGGGAAGGGGGCTCTGGGGACAGGCTCGGGGACCTCAGGGGGCGCCCGCCTGGGAGGCAGGGAGTCGGGGGAGAGGAGCTGGGACTGGCCCTGGGTCCTTTGTCTCGAGGCCTTTACCTCTGCCCTGCAGCCGGGAGCCTTAGGGAGGCGTCGGGAGGGCTCCAGCCCAGACTATGCATCGGCTCCCCAGGTGCGTCCTTTCAGGGTCGCGGTCTCCTCCGATTGGTCGGTGGCAGGGGGTCCTCAGTCACTGCAGCTGGTCCTGACCTTGCCCACCTGGTTCTGCTGCTTTTCTGGGCCTGGAGCTGAAACACTGCGGGGGCCTTGATGTCAGCTCCAGGGAGGGGAGGGTCACCGTGGGGCGAGGTCCTTGTGCTCCCAAGTTTGCCTCTGCGGGGCGGTCCCCCCGGGGACCCTCTGCACCTGGGTCCCCGGGTGCTCGGCCAGTTTGTTCAGCAGCCTGTCTCCGTTTTCCGAATCCAGCTGCCAAGGAATCTCCCCAGCCTCCTACCGTCCCGTCCCACTGTGGGAGCTCCACTGCCGGTCAGGTCCGCTGCCCGTGGTTCTGAGCTTAGGGCCACTTGGTGGGAGCCACAGAGGGATCTGCAGTTGGTTGTCGCTTGTGCAGAGCGCAGAGGTGCCTGGGAGAAGCCCTGCTGCAAAGCAGGGCCACTGCCGCCTGTGCGAGCCTGTGGTCCCTCAGTTGGAGCTCTGCTCCCAGTCACCACTGGCTGCAGCTTATGCTGGGCTTGGGGACCACCTGGTGGGGAGCTACTTGCAAGTGGAGACAGGTTGCGGCTCCTATCAGGCTCGGGGCGGCACAGCCGAGGCACAGGGCGCACCGAGGACGGGCCCCGCTTGTCTGGGGTTTGTTGGATGTGAGAGGCTGTAGGAGAGTCCGCAGTGTGAACTGAGACGGTCGCTTGTGTGGAGGAGCTGCTGGGGGAGGGTCGCAGGGCCGAGGCGGGGGTCTCGAGGAGTCCCCAGGGTGGCTAATGGAGACTGAGACTTGGCACCTGCTAGCTCTCCCGTGCCCAGCAGGGGCGGCCCCGCCCCCGCCCCCGCCCCCAGCTCCGCCCCCAAGGCTCTGGCGCTCAGAGCCGGTCAGTCTGTGAGCAGGCGCACCTGTCCGTTTGAGGACGCCGGGGACTCCGCAGCCCTGCCTCCCGGGCCCAGTCCCCACTGACTTTCACAGCCATGTGTTAGGGAAACTCCTCCCCGGCACCGGCACCCTGGGCTGGGACCCCTCACCGCTCACGGGGTTCCCAGCAGTGGAGATGCCCCTCTGAGTCTCTCCTCCACCACGTCCGCCCAGCTCATCGGCGCTGCTTCTGTGCATCCTGGTGACGGAACTTTTGTCCCGCCATCGGGACGGTGGCTCCGCCAGTGTTAATTCTGATGGGGCCGCGGGAGGAGGCGAGCAGTCTGCCACGGGCCGGGACAGGCGGGTCCCCAGGCAGACGGCATGACAGCGCTGCCCCAGCGCACGGTGCAGAAAGGAGGGTCGCTGAGCAAGCCCGCCCGCCGCGCAGCCGCCCGCACTCACGCCCCCGTTGCCCGCAGGTGTTGCTGGGTCTGCGGGACACCAGCACCCCCATCGTGGCCGTCACCCTGCACGGCCTGGCTGCGCTGGTCTCCCTGCTCGGACCAGAGGTGGTGGTGGGAGGAGAGAGAACCAAGATCTTCAAACGCACTGCCCCGGGTTTTACGAAAACTGTTGGCCTCTCCCCAGAAGGTAAGAATTAAAAAGGTCTAGCTCTTTATTGTGCCACTGTTATTTTACTCGGTTTTTAATGTTGTACAAGTAATGCAGGTGGGTTGTATTCCGTCAAGGGATAAAAGTTAGTGATTTCCCTCTCCCAGCTCCTTCTGGGGAAGGAAACCGATTTTGACAATTTAGTGGGAATCCTTCCACCCCTTTCTGTAAGGCCATGAGGACAGACGTTGAGAGTTTTTAAAAACAATGAGACAATACTACGCACAGTTGTACAGCCTGGCAGGGAGTAGCAGCTCACTGGGGACCAGTGTCCAGGTCACCACGAGCTGGGGCTCACCTGTCAGCTGCCTCCAGCCTCCCTGAGCGGGATCCGCTCGGTGGCTCTCCTGGTGACGGATGCATCACATCCACGTCTGGACTGTAACCATACACACGTGCCTTTACTTCTGGTTCTACTACTACAGGGTCAAGTCCCAGAAGTAGATTCAGCGGATCAAAGAACACGTGCATTTAAAATTTTAGCAGAAAAGGTGTGGCAGCAGGTCTCTGCACTGGCTGATTGATTAAGGTTTCTTATTTTTGTCAGCCTGTTAGCTGCTGCTGTTTAGGTACATCCCGGAATCCCCACGTCTGGTCTGTTCCCGTCGGGTGTTGCCAGAGGGAGCAGAGGTTCCTGGCCTTGACAGCCTGTCAAGGCCCACAGGATGTGGGGTCAGCAGCGCTGTGGCTTTTCTGCTCCTTGCTGACCGTGGGCAGAAGGGCGGGAGCGGCCATCAGGAGCCTGTGGGCCGATGCAGAGGCCAGGGGAACTTTTAAAGTGACACTGGCTCCCTGGGGTGGTGACGCGAGGTTGGCTCCTGCTTGGTGCGGAGTGCCGCGTCCCCCCCCCCCCCCCCGTCAGTGGCCCCTGAGGTGCGCCCCTCTCCAGCTGTGATGGGGCACACGCCAGGTGAGCGCTCTGCTGCTGAACAGCCCATGAGGGTTTGTCTCTGGTTCCTTCCGGGAGGACTGCGGGGGGGCGCACACAGGTGTGCACAGGTCTGCGGTAAGGTGTGGAGTCTGTCTTTGGGGGCAGCTTCACATCTTGAATTAGCCCTGGTCCTCACTCCTGACACAAGTTTCTTTACTGCATGCAGTTTCCTAGTTCTAGACATTTCCTATACTGTTCATCCGGATCACCCTGTAACATGACACTGAAAAGGCCCCCGCACGGGGGCAGCAGCCGACTTTCCGGAAGTGCGGGCGCCAGGGCGGCACACAGGGAGGCACGGGGCCACCTTGCTCTCCTCCTGCTGCTCCTCCGCCGTTCCCTGTGTGGTCAGACTCACGGGCAAAGGGGCCTCGCTGGGTTGAGAACTCAGCAGGGCGTGGCAGGGGGGTGTGAGGAGGGAGGGTGGGACCCGCCTGTGGCAGCGCAGCGAGGCTGTTGCCCTCCAGGTTTTAAGGCAGGAAGTAGTCAGCCAGAACGTTGTTTGAATCCTTTTGAGCAATGAACTTTCTGGTTTCAAACCACCAAAATGTGTTCAAAGGCTGCAACCCTTCTAAGGAGGTAAGGGTGCTAACGACCTCCTCCCCCGGTGCCCGAGTCCCTGGCGCTCCGGCCCTGCCGGGACAGCAGCCCACCCCCACACCCCTCTCAGCACAGGCGGTCATTCCGTCTCAGGTGCGTGTCTCTTCAGGTATTCAAAGGTGCTGCCTCCCTGCGCGCGCACTCATTTGTGTGAAGTGTACTATCTCCCTTGACCCTTGCTCACCTAACAGGTGCTAGAGCAACACACAGCTGAGTATCCCTGTGCTTTTGTGGCGTTTGTTCCCCTTCAGTCTCTCCCAGCACGTGGTCTGCAGCCGGCCCGGGCAGGCCTCGTGGCTCGGAGAACCCTCAGCACAGCCCCACCGATTTCGTTTCTGGCAACAGCGAGCGGCACACACAGCGAGATTCCCACACCACCCTTTCCTAGGCAGGTAGAAAGAGCAAGTTTAAATCGCTCTTCCATTGCGTGACTGGACGTTTTCCTAAGCAAGTTTAAATTCTGAAAACAAAGGGCATTTGGGGGAAGGTTGAGACTGATTTTACAGGACGCGTCAGCTTGGGTGTCATCAGCTTGGGTGTCATCGTGCCTCCCCGGGCCAAGGGGTGCGTCACTGCCTTTTCTTCAGCGCTGGGAGGGGGCAGGTTGGCATGGGAACCTTTCTTGCAGCAGGGACTCGACTTTGGGACTTCTGATGCCTCGGTGCAGCATTTTCCAAACCGCACCAGAGCGGTCGTTCTGGAGGATGGCGCAGGCGAGCGCTGACCCCAGCCTTAGCGTGGTGACCTCTGCACACTTACTTGGGCGCACGCATAATTAACACGGCGAGGGTAATTTGTTGACAACTACAATAGCGATTATCTTTGAATACTTAGTAAAGGAAGCTCTGATCATTGCTCTTGTGGTTTCTTGTGCAAGGTTATTGCCAAAAAATTACATTTCTTTAGTGCTACCCCTTTCCCTTTCTGGCACGTATCCCCACAGGCGACCGGGTTTCTCAGCCTGTGAAACACCCTGTGAACGGGCTTTCGGAGGTGAAGAGCCTCTGCCCAGGTGGCGCCGACGTCCCGCCGCGGCCCGCGGTGGCCGAGGAGTGGCCCGACTGGAGCGAGCCCGAGGAGCCAGCGCGCAGAGCCGCGGGCTCACAGCGGTGGCCTGCAGAGCCCCAAGAGGCCACCGGGCCCCAGCCCCAGGACACGGACGCAGCAGCGGGGAGCTGGGACGACCTCGAGTGCGGCGGCCCTGGCCTGGCGGGGAGCCCGGCAGGCAGGGTCACCATCACCCCAGGGGGGCTCCAGGCGGTCCCCACGGCGTCCCTGCTCACAGAGGCGACCTCGCCTTCGGCTTCTAGCCGACCCCCACAGACCAGTCCTGCCCTGGGCGTGGATGACCCAGAGCAGGTTAAGCCACCGAAAGGGTCGTCGCAGGAAAGGCGCCCTCAGGGCCCCTCAGCATGGGGCCTCGGAGAGGAGTTCACCATTCAAGTGAGAAAGAAGCCGGGGCAGGACCCCGAGTTGGACTGGTTCGCTGACATGGTCCCCGAAATCAAACCCTCGGCTGCTCTTCTTGTTGTACCTGAACTGAGGGCAGGCTTGACGGTCCCCGGGGAAGAGGCTGGCTCGCCAGGGGTGCAGTTTTCCTCCAAGTTTGCTGCAGCCGAAATGACCGAGGTAAGGCCTTCTCGTGGGCCCCAGCTGCCCTGTCCCCTCAGCCAGTCCCCCAGCGGGGTTCCCGCCGAGGAGCTAGACAACCGTGCGCAGTCGGTTAGGACGGTGAAAGCGAGCAGAGTCACTTCCCGTCACTACCTTCCTTCCCCAGAAAAAGGTGACGGCGCGGGCCGCTGGTTAGAGTGGCCCCCTCGCTGGGTTAAACCAGGAATGTGGGGTCGGTGTCGACGGCCGGACGAGATGGTGCTCAGAGGCGGGCTGCTCAGCCTGCAGACACGCCTTCTGGCACCAGAGCAGGTGCTAGGCCCCTTTCAAGCTGCTGGCCTTTCAGACTTTGAGACACTGCCCCAGTGGCCGCCCTTGGCTTTGCTTGTGTCTTCGCAGGCGGAGTCTGAAGGCTGGGGAGACGCTGGGGAGCTGAACTGGGGAGACAGCAGCTGGTGACAGTGGCTGTGAGTTAAACTCTAGGAAAAAGGATTCCTTTTTATAAGAAGAAGAAATCAAACTAATACCTCAAACGCAGGCTCCGCAGACAAGACAGCCCCGAAGCACCCTGTTTTCCTCAGAGCAGGCGCTTCCCGGCCTGGGCCAAGGAGAGGCCGCGGGGGGCGGGGCCCGCACCTCTGGCTGAGGCCCGGAGACTCTGGACGTGAAGACAATAAATACAGAACTTCAAGCTGATTAGCTTAATTTTGTGCCATTTCTTTAACGGTGAAAATAAGCTCTATTATGAATACTGAAAAAAATTTTAGCTATAAAGTATATTAAATGATTTTAAATAGCATATTAAATGATTTTAAATTGCTAAGGTTTCCTTAGGCAGCTTATTTATTTGTCCGAAGTTTTCCTGGGGGCACCTGGGCTGGTCTGACTGTTCCCGCGTGTACTGTTGTGCAAACCAAAGTTCTTCATGAGAAATATCCCCCATGATCCTGTTCTGTAAATGTCCAATAAAAACTATTTTCACTAGTCAACTTTACAAAAGTGGTTTTATGTGTTAGCAAGTATACAGGCACAATGACATTGGTATGGTCACCTACAATACGCACTGCAGACCGACACCTCCCCAACAGCTGTGTCTGGCGATACCGTGGGTCCGGACCATTCACGTGTCCCCCGAGAGCCCGTGACGCCTCAGCTCACCCATCTTCTCCTGGAGCAGCTGCATTTCCCGGGGAAGCCAGTCCGGGGCCGAGGCCCTGCAGAGCAGGGACCCAAGGGCCTGCAGGGCCCCCGCCACAGCCTGCAGTGCAGACCGGTACTCGTCCTCCAAGTGGGGCTCGCAGCGGGCTCTCTTCGCACAGGGCTGGCAGCGAGAGGCAGGCAGTGAGCGAGGAAGGCCAGGACACTGTCCTAACGCTGATCAAGAGCTTCCCTTTTGGATGGGAGCAGCACTAGAGCAAAGCTGCTTAGCATAAATTCTGAAACTGTAGAAAGCTGTGCGAATTGTATGCGAGTCCTTGGTTCAGGCAGCCAGCACCACCCACCACCTGACAATACGTGAAGGTGTGTGTGCCCTGACACAGGGACCCAGAGAGCTGGCACTGTCTGCCCCAAGGGTCCTGAGAAACGAGACACACACGACCTTACACAGAAGGCCCAAAGGTGCGTGTTTCTAAATGCTACGTCTAAAACCGCTGAGGGCTGGGTCTCCCCGGCGCTGTAGGAGCCAAGTCAGTAAGTGGCCGCCACACGCGCTCTGCTCGCTGCCCTGAGGAGGGACATCTCGCTGTCCGGAGGGCTGACTGGCCCTAGCGACAGTGTGTGACCTCACAAGTCTCAGGAGCAAGTGTCTTAGAAACAAGTGAGCAACAAACTAAACCTCACCACCATCTTTTTTAGGGATTACAATTCCAAACACACTGTCAGTGCTCAAAGGAGTATTTTAAATATCCTTACTGGTGTCAGATTTCTGCCTTTCAGCAGGCAGTAATTTCTAGATGTGGCCAGAAATTATCATACTGGTTTGAGGAACAAGGCAGGGGATCAGACAGACACTATGAAACAGACGGCTGCCCGGCGGCCTGCAGAGCTGCCGCCTTGTAAGGCACAGGCGCGTTGACAGCACATTCAGTGCGATTCTTAAAATTTACTTTTTCTGTAATGCCATCTGTTTTGTGTGTTCAGAACCTTTCAGGAAAAAACGTGTTTAAAACAGCAACTACCATAAAATGGTAGGATTTTACATGTCTAGATCTAGATTTTACATGTCTCAATTATTTTGATATTTAACGAGTCCAAGAACCACGCTAGTTTCTCTCTTGCTTATTCATTAAGTAATAAGGACAGGACGTCCCTGCCGAAAGCTTGGCCCACCCTGGAACGCAGTCCGTACCTGCAGAGATGACCGCTCCGCTGCTTCCAGCGTGACCTGCACCGAGGACCTCCAGAAAACCCCCTTTTCCTGTTTCACACGCTCCACCCTGGCCGCTGCCGTCTCGCTGATAAGCCCCGTCTGCCAGAGATCGCGGAACCACGTCAGCGGCGAGCAGCAACTCCCGCTGGGCCAGCGGGGCGACCCTCACCAGGCGCGGCGGCCAGTGGGAGGCTGCCCGGCCCTACCGCGTACCAGGCAGCCTCTGCGAACGCCCTCCCTCCCCGTGCAATTTGTGGGGTCGCTGTTCTGTCAGGGCGTGACTTAACCCGCAGTGGCATCCTGGCACTGTCCCCGTGGACGTGGGTCCCCAAATGTGGGAGTGGTAGCCTCAATCTAACAGTTGGGTTCAAGCTGTAAAAACAGCTTGAAAAAGCTCCCCGTTTGGAAAAGTAGGTCCTGGTGTCTGTCGCTGCAGCAGCGCCGGGCCTGGGCTGCGTCTGCGTCCCGGTGGGAAGCGCGGCGCCTCGGGCCCACCAGGCCTCAGGAGTCACCTCACTGCCCCAGAAAGCGTGACTCCAAGAGTCTACCTCCTGGGACGTTGGGGACTGTGCTCCCAGCTGCTTGTGCGAGCACTGTGCGAAACGCAGGCCACGGGAACCGTCTGCCTGGTTCCAGCAACACAATTTCTGACAGCGCAACAAGTTGAAGAACAGCACGGGACACTGTCCCTTCGATTCTATATAAAATACGTACCTTCTCCAGAAAAGATACAACTTTGTTCTTCATTTCTTCGGAAGTGAGGCACTGTGGGACTATCTGTTCATGGTTTGTTCCCTGTTTAAAAATGGATAAAACCAACTTTAATATTCTTGGAATAAGCTGCAAAGACATACATGGGAGTTGTAAGAGCCATCTTTATCAAAAACGCGTTTTAGAGGAAAACACTCAGTTCTGAGGCTTCTCAGCGGACAGTGAGCCCCCAGGCCCTTCCAGGGGCCTGCGGGACCCTGCCACGTTCTGCTAAGCACGCCTATCAGCTTCGTTCTGCCCAGCGCCCGCAGGTCCCCGTGCCCCCTTAGAACCAGAGGCGCCACCGCACAGCCCAGGGTGACGGGGCAGCTGCCCACAGCAGAGTCGCCCTCTCGCAGAATCAAGCGACCAGGTCTGTGTTGGTCTGTGTTCATCCTGGCCCCAGGCCAGCTGCAGGTGACAGGTGTTATCACCCACCCTAAACACCACGTCCGGGACACAGCCTGCGTCAGCAGACCCAGCTGAAGGCCGGCGGGGTTGTCACTACGCATGGGACCTTAGGAAAGCCACCTCGTTTCTCGGTGCCTGTTTTTAGCACTTCCCCTGCGGCAGGAAACGCTGTGACCGGGGTGCAGAAGCAGCTCGTCCGCATTTCGGGACGCTGGGACCCCACGGGCCGCGGTCTCACCTCGGCGAAGCGTGTGAACGCCTCCAAGGCGTGCTGCTCCAGCAGCCAGCTCCTGTCGGCCAGCAGCAGGGCAAAGACGGACGACAGGGCGGGCAGCATGCTGTCCTAGAGGGAGAGCCAGGCCGGGTCAGCGGAGGGAGCCCGCGGCAGAGCACAGGCAGCGGGCCTCGTGTTGCCAGGCTCCGCCGCCCGTCCCTGTGGGCAGCATCACTCACGACGGAGGCTGGCCGTGCCCCTCTGCGCACACCTCCCGCTGCTCCGGGGCGAACCCAGGGACCAGCCTTGGGCCTTCAGGCTGCCGCCTCCGTCCTCTGTACCCAGTGGGGCTCCTGGCGCAGAGCCCGGGTCCTGGTCTCTCCCCGCCTGGCAGACGTTTGTCCCCGGTACTGCGTGGCCTGTTCCTGCAGCGTCCACTCCTCACTCGCGCGTCACCAAGGACCGCACCCCCCTCCCCCCAGCTGTGCCCACGAGCCCACGTCTCCACCTCACTGGTCTGTGGCCTCTCCACAGGCAGTGGGGGCGGGGGGGGGGGGTCGTCATCTGGTTTGTTATTGAGTCCCCAGTGATGAAAACAGTGCCTGACACATACAAAACTCAGTAATTCTTTTTCTTAAATGAATATATGAATCAATCTTCTGTCGTGGTTTTACATGCCTCTCATTTACTGATGAGTCCCAAAAATTTTTTCAGGCCTTACTTCACTCCTGGGAATATATGTACATTCCCAGGAGTATACAAGGTAATTTCTGTTAATAAAAACATCTGTTCTATAGGTTCTGGACCCAAAAGGGTCCAAAAGCAGCATTTTGGAAAACACTCATCTGCTAAAAGGAAAATACAGTGGAACCTCGGTTCTTGAACTTAATTCGTTCCAAAAAACTGTCCAAGAAGCAATTTGTTCCAAAACCCAATCTCCTCTGTCACCCAAGAGCCCTGTGACTGATCACACAGGTGTTGGCATGAAAGGCCCGTTGGGGAGACTCGGGACTGAGGCTGTTGGACGAGAGCCACTTCCTCCGTACACAACCTGGCCGAGGCCCGAGGCCCGAGGCCCGACTGCAGCTCAGGTGCAAGCATCTTGGGATATTCTGCCCACACAGCTGGAAACAAACTCAATGTCTACTCTTACCGCATGAAACACAGCCTCACATAATGAAAAATGGCTCGCTACAGTTTACCTGTGAACAAATAAAGCCCTTTAGAAACTAACCAGTTTTTTTGGTTTCAAAGACTTCGATCAACACGTAACGTGCACTGTGGTTTGGCTGCCATCACACACAGGGTCCTCAGCAGTGCGCCCTTGTCTCAGCCGCTCCCGTGCGGCGGGGAAGTCGGGGCTGATGGCAGGGTGGGCCGCCAGGCCTTCACAGTGTGGTTTTATAAAGAGACACCCGTTTGTCAACTACGTATACCTTGCAACATTTTCAAATTAGTGTCTTTAAAAACAAACAGGCTCCCCTCATGCACATAAAACTGAAAGAGTAACTTCAGCACGTTAGCTGACTTCCTCATCATAACCGTTTTCCTCCCTCAGGAACTCCACGTGCTGAAGCCCACAAAAAATCCAGACTACAGCCAAAACTCTACACGTATCAATACACGTTTTTCTAAAAGACGTATAAAATGAGTTCGTTAGACAAAGTCACCCTCTGTCACAAAAACATTCTCTCCCAGTGTACACCACCAACAATCCACGGAACTGAAGAAATTAAAAGCCTAAAAACCTCTTAGTCCTTCTTGCAGAGTCTTTGTTAATAACGAGAACAGAATTCAGAGTGTATTACCTGGAGAGCTGGAGACACAAAAAGGTTTCCTAAGGATGACGCGAAATCAAGGACTGCCAGGCGGACGTGGTCAGGCGGCCCTGCCCGAAGGAGCGCGGCCTGCACAGCTACCACCTAAGGAGCAGAGACCAGAGGACAGTTCCCCGCGGAGACAGTGTGGCCGGCTAAGGCTTTGCTGGGAGCGGGACATGGGAGCGGAAACAAAGCCCAACCCAGGGCAGCCCACGCGCCTCACAGCCTCCACTCATGACGGCGGGATTCGAAGAGAACAAACAATTTGAGTTGGTTACTACAGCGTTCTTCCTACCAACCACTAAAACAAAGACTTCCTGAGAAACAATACACAGCGCTCCTCTTTCAAATCTCTGAAAATTCTTCAGTATCTTAAATTCTAGTGGGAGAAACTCATACTTGTGAGCGGGGTTTGGCACACCTTCTATAAAGGGCCAAAGGGCCAGATGGTCAGTATTTTAGACTTTGCAGGCCACATGTTTCCTGCTGCCTATTTTCCTTTGTTATCTTTTATTTTACAAATCTTTAAGAACGTAAACAATCACCCTGAGCTCTTGTACTGAAAACAGGGCCGGTCTCCAACCTGATCTGAAGGAACAGTGAGAGACGGCCCTCCACAGCCAAGGCAATGCCTAAATGAACAACGTGCTCAGGCTGAAATTCAGACCTTCAGTTACCTGGGTATTTTAAAGGCAGGCACAATTATATCAAATTATCAATATTCAATTTTTCACAAAAGAATATCAGAACCCACAGAATCAACAAATTCAAATTGTTGCATTCATATAATTTGAGTCAATTATTTTACCATACTCTCATTCTCTATAATTTAGTAATCCGTGTTACACATAAATTTTAAAAATACCCGATTAGCAAATAATTAAGTTTTTCATGTACACAGCCACTAACGAGATACTAAAACCTAATAGCGTTCCTAGTTTTACTATTTCTTCCATCGTCCATCCTCCTAAACAGCAAGGGTTTAGTTTTAATCCATAGGACTTGCTTCCTGGTTGTTTCTCACGTGACTGTGACACAGGCCAGCTCCTGCTTCAGGGGACTGCCCTGCCCAGGCTGGACTCTGAAGCCTCTGAACTTCAGACAAGAGCCAGGCCTGTTCCCCTTCTCCCTCTCCAGCAGCCGAGCGCCTCGGGGGTGTAGCCGGGCAGCCCCACAGCGGCCCACCCGCAAGCCCGGCCCCGACCCGGCCACGCAGGCGGCTTCCTTCCGGGCGCTGCTATTTCCTCAAAGAAATGACGGGGACGCGCTCTCCGTCCCCGCGGTTCCCGTCCTCACGGCCAGGCCTGCAGGCAGGCCGCACCCCAGGGCTCCTGGGCACGCACTGCGACAGGGACGCTCGGCCGCTCCGTGCCCAGGAGCCGGCGATAAGGAAGAACCGGGAGCGGCTGAAGGGGCAGCCCGGCTCTGACAGCGCTCCCTCCATGGAGGGGGGCGGGGGACGAGACATCCCTGGACAAGCCGCTGAACAAGAAAGGGCAGTAAGCAAACTGCACAACAAATCATTCAATAGGACTGTTTCTAGAAAGTTAAGTCTGAATACCAGTTCAACAGCTTCCTCCACAAAGTACCCATGTGCTCATTATTCTTACCTGACTTATCAGCTGAGGATCTAGACTTTGGATGAAAAATCCCAGCAGTGGAAATAAAAGGCTGAGTGTCTGTTGAACAGAAGGTTGATCTGATACCTTAGACGAGATAGAGTAATTTCAGTGAAAATTTTCAATCTCGTGTGAATGGCCCCTTTTAACGGGCGTGCCCAGGGGGTGATGCTACTGCCTCCCAGGTGCGCCCAAGCTGAGCGCGCAAGGGCTCAAAGGGCGGCGAGCGCGCACCCCACCCACGGCCACGGGGCCAGGAGGCGGCAGGGCCCTGCGCCGTCGTCTCCCCCCGCCCCCCGGGGCAGGGCACACTGAGTCACCGCGGCGGCACACGCCTCAGGGACCGGCCGTCGGGTGGACGCCCAAGAGGGCCAGCCGGAAGAGGGGGCTGAAAGTGCGCGCCACGCCCTCGCAAGCCCTGCCCCCCGCCCCCGCAGAATTGAGGCCCCTCCCACGCGGGGGCCAGTTCCCTGCCGGTCCCCTTGGTCCGTGCAGTGCCTGTTCTTCGGGGAGACGGCGGTCTCCTTACCAGGCCAGCGTGCAGACTCGCCCAAAGCTGGCTCCCCGCGGCTGCGAGCTCAGTCCGCTGTCCGTCCTCCAGGGCGTCGCCGGCCGAGCTGCAGACAGCGAGCACCGCGGAGAGCGCCGCGTCCTGGCGGGACAGGCAGGGCGAGTGTGGCGCAGCCCCAGGACCGAGCCCACCTCCCTGCGCCAGACTAGGGGCTTTTCACCCGGACCCACATGGGCCTAAGGCCATCTTTTCAGCTATTTCTTTAATGTAAGTTATTTTTATTAAAACTAATTTTCCCTAACACAGAAACATTTGCTTCATTTTTATGAGTGAATATTTTTTTTGGCTATTTAATAATGAAATGAAAAGAACACTGTATTTTAACAAATAGGGTTGATACAAATAGTATGGCCAAACTAATTCATAATATTCATCAATTTAAAATTCTTTTTCACATTATGCCCCTAGCAATCTTTTTAAGTTACTAAATTTTTACTGTTGCTTTACAATTAATCTTTAAAATTCTTCAGCAACACCACATTTGATAAGCAAATACAGAGCTTAAGAACTATACAACCTAGAACTTGAAACTAAAAGCCACCTTTCCTGGATTCGCTCTCCTCTGCCCCGTCTGTCTGTCTGTCTGTCTGTCTGTCTGTCATCTCGGGCCTGCCGCGGGCCTGGCCGTGTGTATGTGGGGGGAGGGGTGCCCAGAAGGCAGCAACAAGGCCTCTCCCCATCGTGTATCAACAGCCACGCTTGCTGTCCCCTTGTACAAATACACAGGTGAAGTGACCTGCTGGACTAAAGTCTTGGTCGTACATCAAAGATTTATTCAATTTTAGAAAATAGGTGGTTTTATTTTGCCCAATACATAGTATTTTTTTGTCTTTGCTAAAGAAAGTAGTGCGCCAAAAATGAAAGACCTGAACACCTTAGCCCACTCCTAACTAATGGTTGTCCCAAGCATTTCCCTTGAATATACATAAACGTTTTCATCATAATTACAGTCAAGTGCCATTAGTCGCGTTATCAGAGCGTTTACACACAGGACCGAAGTGTCAGCCCCACAAGCGCCCTGCCCCAGTGGGCCCGAACCCCGTCCCCACCCCGGCTTGGTTTTCCTCCTCTTCCCACAGACTGACAGGCGCACCTGCCCCTTCTTTCACTGCCTGACTCAGCCAGAGGGCAGGCCCGCGAGAGGAGGACCTCGCGCTGTCCCCGGGAGGGCCCAACGCCGGGGCCAGAGCCCGCGGGACGAGCACCCAGAATGTGCCGCAGCCAGTCAAGGAGCAACAGGCACACGAGCCCTAAAATGGAAATTCAGCCACAGGTAACACAGTCAGCCGACTGTTCCAAGTCACGTTTGTTGCTTCTTACAGGTTAATTTCCCTTTTATCCCACTATTTTAAGAGGGAGCAACCTAAAAAGGGAAGCCCACACAGGCTCGGGCGAAGTCCCCACACACTGGGTGGTGCCCTGTCAAACAGGAGGGCAGCGCCTGCCCAGAGGCGCGCCTGCGAAAGCCCACAGAGGAAGCGTTCGCCCTGTGCCCCCGGTGAGCTTCAGACACCCCCGGTAGCGCGAGGCGGCCGCACCCACCTCAACACCCCGCCCCCAGGTCCTCGGAGACCCAGCCCGGGGTTCCGTGCTCCCCTGGCGACAACCCCACCCCTGGAACGGATCACTTGCCAGCGACGCGAGCTCCGCGGCCGTGCGGCTGCCGGCCAGCCAGCCCCTGCCCTGCGCAGCGCCGGCACCGGCGACCTCCCTGGCAGCCTGCTCCCTCAGCTCCACCGGGAAGGCCTGGAACGAGATGTGCTGCCACAGAGGCAGGTTTTCTGCTTCTTTGGGGGAGAATTCCTGGATAAACTGCACCTGAAATACATTGTTAAAGACACACAAGTAACATAAGAGAGTCTGATGAATGGATGCACAAAAGCTAAGTGTTACCTCCCATATTTAATACTTTTTAAAGTTTGTAATCAAATAGCATTATCACAATGTACCCGATCAAGGTAACTCAGGTGGGCACGTGCTGTTTTTGTGGCTGCGTTTGTTTCCGAAGAAACAACCACCGCCGAAGGGAGGGGGAGCCAGCGGTCAAGTCGGCTGGTGTACAGGCCCCGGGATGTCCCCTGTCTTCCCAGGAACTTACACACTCGTCACCTTGCAAAGTCAGGTCAAAAGAAATACTCCAAAACACGGCAACGAGAACTAAAGAAGCTGAGGTCGTGGGCCCTGCCTGCCCGTGGCACGCGGAAGCCCCGGCGCCGCCCCGCCCCCTCCGAGGCAGCAGCCTGCAGCGCCCCAGGGCCGACGTGGGTAAGACGCTGTTTGCGACAGCGAGGCGTGCGCGCAGCGGTTAAAAAGCAGGAAACAGGCGTTCCAAAAAGCAGTGAAAATGTTAAATTAGTTCCTGGCAGAAAAACAGCAAAAACAACAGTGCACTTAATTCTTAAATTAAGTGTAATCCAAATAGGAAGCATATTAATGTAATTTTTAAGAAGCAGGATCATCTAATTTACAACATTCAATGTGCTTGTTGAATGATTTTCCTCCATCAAGAATTTAAAAAGCCCACTGTATTAAACTGACAGAACTCTCCCCATGTTCTATACTCTAGTTATATTTGAATCTCACTTCATTTGCAGAAAATACTTAGTTGTCAAAACGAGAGAGAAATCATGTTATTTTCTGGGGCAGCTGCAGGAGCCAAGAAAACAGGCCGGTACAGGCTCTGCATCTGCTGTGACGAGCGCCTCACTCCCGACACCGACCCGCGTGACGGAGGAGATGTTGTCATCGGCAGAGGGGACACCCGAGCTCTCCCCGTTAGCGAAGGGGCAGGAGACACAGAGCTGCCCACCCAAACGTCTCCAGCGTCTGGGAACCAAGGGGAAGGGCGTTCCCGGAGAGCGAAGGGGAACAGTTACCTGCAACTGGCAGAAAAGGCCCCTTCCCACACCTGACCTCGGGCCTGTGCCCCCCGCCCGGCTCCAGCGGGAACCGCATGCGGTCGGCTTGGAGAGCCCCTGGCCCTTGCTCTCCCACCGCCTGGCCTCTGGTCAGCAGAGTCCTGCCAGGGCCGCTCGGCCAGCACCGCCCCTTCCCTGGCGCTGCCCCTGACTGAGGTTGACCTGCCGCCGCGCCCCCCCGGCCAACCCCCGACTCTGAGCCCGCACTTGTCCGCACTGCCAGCAGCACCGAGCCGGCCGCAGGCTGAGGTCGCGCTTCCCTGTCGCACCAGTTCCTGAGTAACATCTGTTCTTTACCACTTTACTGTGTGGCTCTGGTTTTTCTTTAACATCATCGAAATCTAAACCCATCTAAAAGCAATAAGCAAAGAGATCAACCGATACATTAAAAATCTTGCTCGGATCACACGCACATTTCAATGCAGAATACATGGGCAGCGGGGGAGGGAAGAAAGCCTTCCCGGGAGTCTGAGCCCGTCCTGAGCATCCGAGAAAAGACAGTGGCGAGGAGGACACTTGCCTGGTGGGCGGGCGTCATGAAGAAGAAGAGGCGCCTCAGGAGCACTGACAGGTGGGTGAGCTGGTGACATTCTCCAGGGCAAGATTTTATCTGGGAAAAGGAGGAGAGACTGATTGGCCTAAAACGACAGCTCTTACAGGATCTTATATGCCACGTGTTAACAGCAGCTCTTTCTGGGAGACAAGATTGTAGATAAATTTAATTTTAATTATTTTTCCTTCCATAAACCTAGATTACTTTTATAATGAAAAAAAATTCTGACCGCCTATTTAAAAACACCACTTTGGAATCCCCAAATTTCCAATGGCCACGGGATGGTCCCGCGGTGGTGACCCTCCTGCTCACACGGTTGGTGGAATTTTGCCAGAATGAGGCCCCGTGAGAGACACAGTTGTGCCAGGGCTGGCGTGGCTCAGGCGCAGGAGAGTACACGCTCAGCCACCAACATCACAGCCCACTCTCCGGGTTCCCTGCTTCGCATTCAATGTTCAACGTGTTCTCAATGAAGAGAGTCTATCGTTCCCAGAACAATTAAAGGAACTCCGTAACATTTTGAAAATAGGAGAGTTTCCCCAATTTTAGTGTTTCTAGTACATCTTTCTCAACAGCATCCACAACTGTCAAAATGCAGCCACCCTGTACTTCTGCGCTGGACACTCCCTCTCGTCAGCTGAGCTTCCCTCTGAAGGCACCCGGGGCGGCGGCGTGCCAGGCCCGCAGCGTGGGCACTCACCAGGCGAGCCGCCACAGCGACGTGGTGCGCGCAGAGCTCGGCAGTCCCGTACCTGCGACGTAAGGGGGGCTGTCAAGACACAGTCGCTCACGCAGGCATTCAGGGAAGGGGCGAGGGGAAGGCCCACAAGGCACTGAGTATTCTAAACTGCAGTCATTCCCACGGCCAAGGAGCAGCACCGGGTATCGAACCAGTGTTCACTGGCGTAAACCAAAGCGAGGGGAGAAGCAGCCCGGTCCCCAATATGCAATCGCCCATTTGGGCAGCTGGTAAAGAATTACTGAGACAGGATGTTTCTATAAAAGTACAAATCTGAAGTCATTTACTGTCAGTCACAACTATAAATCCATCCCAAAACCAAGAAGGCATCTTGTACCGAGCAAGGAAGCACCACGCGTCCATAGCCAACAAAGAGGCGACCATGCTGGCACTCAGCACCGCGTCCAGCAGGGCGGCGTCCTGAGGAGACAAGACAGCTCACGGTCACTCATCCCCAGTGTCCCATTTCTCAGAGAAAAACAGCCCTCACCACCCAGGCGGCCGCCGACCCCTGACCGGCACCTGAGGGGGCCCGCCCTCCGCGCTGGCTCAGCCCCGGGCCGGGCTGCGGGGCCCGGCGCCGGCTCTCACGGTGAGGCTCCGTCCCCGCGACGGCCAGGGCTCCCTCGGTCCCTGAGACCTTTAGGACAACGTGTGTAACGTGTGAGCCTATACTTTTGTATCTGCCTTTAATTATCCAAATGCAGTATTTAATGTAGCTGATATTACCCATTGCATATTAAATGATGATACTTCTGTAAATTCTTTTTCCCCTAAAATTTCAACATCTTTTCTAATCCAATTCCATTTAAAAATAAAAAAAAAGAAAGAATGAATGAAAATCTGTATTACACCCAAGATCTACAGGGGACTTGCTGCTACATACTACTATTCACTTCTTTTCTTCATGAAACTGAGTTAGGTACAATCCACATTTTCCTTGTCTCACTGTCTTTCCATACCTCGCCACCCAAAATGTTTTCTCCACTACTTTAGCTAAACACTGCATTTCAATACTCTAAGACTCTAGGATTACCACTTCCTAGGATTCAGCTGAGTTTAAGGGTAAAATGTGTAAGCAGAGGAAGGAATGACAGCAGAAAGGAATGCACAATAACCACACCCTCTTTCCTCTGTATAAAAATCACAATTCAAATGAGGGGTCAAAAAGCCAAAGAGTAACCTCAGTGCAGCCCAACAGGTAACGAACTTACCAGCTCAGGAAAGAGGGAGGGGTGACAGGAAGCAATGAACGCGCACAGATGTACACAAACGTGCTGGTACAAGGTGACAGCAACCTCGGCCTGCCCTTCACCCTCCGCCCCCGGGACACGGACGGGCAGAGAGAGCTCCCCGGAGCACTGCGCCAAACTGCAGAACACAGCCCCGAGCAGAGACGCCCTGCAGGGAAATTGAGGACAGTGACCCAGCATTACTGTTTAATACTTAGCAGGTATTATGGTAATAACATATCATGGGTTGTTTAAGCTAAGTGTCTCCAGAAGCATACATGTCCAATATGTGAACATGTGTGCCTAAATGTAAAACACAGTCACTGTTAGAGAAATTCCTTAACAGACAAGAATTTGCCAGTAATTTTGTATCAGTTACCAAATGGTTATCATAGTACTAAGCTATTCAAAGTCAAAGACAAAGTCATCAAGAAACTTGGTATTTAAATAGCTAAATAGCACCTATAAAATATAGTATTGGTTCACACAGGGAGAGGTTATTTTATGGTTGAAGCGGTTTAGGAAATCTTCAGAGAGGATTTAAAAAATAAATTAAAAAATAGACAAGCTGTAGATGGGAAGAGACAGCAAAAGCACAAAGCCAAGGTGAGCACGAGCAAGGGGCCGGGACATGAGCAGGGACCACCAGGCAGATGGGGAGCAGGGGAGGCGCGGCGGCAGGACAGACGGCCTCACATGCCAGGCCACGGGGCTCGACGGGGCGCTCCCATCTCCGGCAGGAGAGCGGGCAGCCCCGGGCAGGGCCTCAGAGAGGCCAACAAGAGGGTGCAGAGGCCGGATGGGGAGAGGGCAGCAGGGCAGGGCGCGGCTGCAGCCGGAGAAGGCCTCGGCTCCCCGACTCCCCGGTTCCCACCTGCGCCCACCCACGGTGCTCAGTGGTCACAGCGCTACGAGGCACCGCCTCTAACCCACTGAGCAGAGCCACAGTGTGCTCGGCACCGCCAGACTTCCGTGTTTGTGTGCGTTTTTATGAAGAAGCCACAGATACGTGAGATCTACAGTCACTATTAACTAGAATATCTGACACAACGAAAAGCTTAATTTGACCACCCTTCCAAACGAGAGGGCGTCCCCACCCGCCCCTACCGTGCCCGGGCGCGAACCGCACGCCTGCTACCTGGACGCCGCTCCCGAGCGCCGGCTCGCCGTGCACCACAGCGCCTGCACGTGCCCGGGCTGAGCGGGCAGCCTGTCCATGACGGCCACCAGCAGCAGGCACTGCGGGAACTGCAGCTCGCAGGGCAGCTCTTCCGGGCCAGGAGAACACGTTCGTTACGTCGCAGCCAACATCGTTACGTCGCAGAAATCCAATGCAGCGTGCAAAGAAATTAGAAGCATAATTTTTTTAAGTAAGAACTATGTTCCAAGAAAAACACTGTCAAAGAAAGTTTAAATAATTTTGGAACTAAAAGAAAAGGACGACCACGTAAGGGAAGAGGCCCTTGCCTCCACCGCGTCGTAACTGCCAACGGCCTCTCCCTAACAGGCGCTCCGCTCTGACCCCTACCTAGCTGGCTGTCCAAAACCACATGCGCAAAAGGCCGGAAGGCGAGAAGTTGAGTGACCAGGGCGTCCAGGGCCACCAGGAAGGAAGCCGCTATCTCCTCCTGCAGGGCTCTGGAGAGGCCGGCCGCATACAGGCTGGGCGGGCACTGGCTGGGAAGAGAGGGACACACGCATGTGTCAGCTGCTGCCTCCGGCTTACTAAGAAGCGGCGAGCACTGCAAGCCATGCTTGTCCAGCCGTGAGAGTATGTGAGAAGCAAGTGGCTTGCATTTCATAAAACAAAATTCGGAATACGGAGCTGACACCATAACTGTATGAGAACTCAGAACTAGACAACACGGCTCCAACACAAAATTAGAAGTTTACAATCTCAGTGAAATCTTTAGATTGTTTTTGATGCATTTTAATAAAACCATTTTGACAGTGATGTCTTAAAAATATGAATGTTAAATAACTAATAAAAACATTTATGTAAAAACACGCTTCTGGTCAATTCTGGCGCAATCACGTCTGTGAGAAGCTGGTTTAACCCAGGGCTGTGCTGACCTCACTGACTCCAGGCCCAGCCCCTCGGGGCCGGGCTTCGCAGCAGCCGGCGGCCGGCCAGCGCTCCAGGGGCTGGGAGACTCTCCCGGGGAAAACGCCTCACCACTGGGTTCCAACCAAATGTCAGTCAAAACCTACAGGAAGTACAGGGAGCACCCGCTCGGGCCTGCCGGGGGGCCGAGGCCTCTGAAGGGGGGTGTGGGGCCTGGGCAGGGGCCGCAGGAGCCCGGCTGTGGGCCGGGAGCTGCGAGCGCTGGCTGGCCCGCCCGGCCTCCCTGGGCCCCTTGGCTGCCCTGCTGTGACACGGGCCTGCAGCCATGGGGGTTCAGTGACAAGGGAAGCAGAGACAGACACAGATAAACGTGGGTGACGAAACTCCAGGCCGAGGCGCAGCTCCTAAGCAACTAAGGACTTGTATTTCCATCGAATGACATTCTTAACTGACTTATTTAACAAGTATTTACGACACGTCTATGCATATACACCATGCAGTGTTCCAGGACCCAGCAGTAAGCAAAGTAAAAAAGTCACTGCCGTGAACAGTGTCCCTGCCGGTGAAGAGAGGGGCCAGCACGAGCGCACAGGTACGTGCACCGCGGAGCGGATGCTGGTAGGTGCCACGGGCGAGGCAAGGTGGGCAGGAAACTCTGCTGCATTCCGTTCGAATACCGAGTCATTTGAGGGTTTGTGCAGAAGTCACATGACCTCAGTGAAGTCTCCCTCCCCCGCCACCACCCCTCCGCTGCTGCACGGAGAACGGACTAGAGTGGGGCGGACGAGGCTGGGGCAGACCGCGGGCTGCGGGGAGCGGTGCTGGGGTGTGACCTGCACATCGGCACGTCCGTGGGAAGGAGATGGCGGGGAGGAGAGGCCGTGGGGCGAGAGGGCGGGAGGGCCCAAGCGCGGGAGCATGTGGACTCCAAGGCGCAGGTGGGGAGCAAGGCCCTGCGTCTCCGGGCTCGGCACAGGCGGACTGGCTGACGCCGCACTCGGGAGTGCGTGGAGCCATCCTCCACGTGGTCCCCCCGCCTCAGGGACACAGGCAGGGAGGGCCCTGGCTGACACTGAGGGGGACCGGCTGAGGGGCAGGCAGGCGCCGTCGGGGCTGGATGGATTAGGGAGCGATGAGCAGAGCTGGGTGAGGTGACAGGTTACAGCGTCAAACTGGCGGCTCTTCCGAGGAAACTGGCCATTTCAATATTACTTAGGCCCCATCTAAACTGGTACCTTCCTGTAATTCACATTTTTTCTGAGATAGCGTTAACTACTACTTGACTGAAATCTCATAGAGGTAAGATAAAAATTAACTAAGATAAGAAACAATATGCCAACAGAAAATATACACATGTATGCAAAACCCCTTTTTTTTGGCATTAGGTATTTATCACCATGAGTGAATCATTACTCAGTACAACGTCCCAGTTAAGACTACAAAGATATGTAAAGCTCACATGGAATCTATTTTTTTTTAAGTTATCATTTCCAATTGTTTTTAACAAGCTGGTAAAAATTGACTGGAACACTAAAAGAAGTGACTCTGATGTTTTATTTTAAAATTACACACATGTAGCCTTTGCCTGGTTCACACGGCACCGTTAGGTTTTCATAATGACACAGCACCCTCCTTACCTGTGTATCTGCAGATAAAGCTGGTGCAACACACAGCAAGAATCCGAGAGGAAAGGAAGAAATTCCTGAAATAAAACAACTCCAGTCATTCCTTGTATACACCACGTCTTTCTAACCCACATGCTCTCGCAAAGGTGTGTAAAAACAAAAAATAAAATCCTGGATATGCCACATTTTTTGAAAAAATCTTGCATGAGAATAAAGAAGGAAGATGAGGCTATGCACCTGAAGTTCTTTACATTAAAACTATCAGCAAAATGACAATGAGCAGCTCTCAGGTACAGAGCACCTACTAAGTGCTCGCCGACAGGTTGCAAGGGACTTGCCACGCACCGGTTTACTTAACTTCAGTCCTCTCCAAACCCCAGGCCGAGCGGCTGTCCCGGCTCAACAGGAGCGGAGGCGGGAGCCACGGTGTCCAGCAGCGCGGACAAGCCACACTGCCGGGCGCCAACAAGGCTGGGCTTCGGGTGCGGTGCTGCCGCTCTGAGGCAAGCTACCTCTCAGAGCACAAAAAGAAGTCTTTTTATTGTGAGGACACAGAAAAAAGGTTGATGATTAATTGTTAAAAATTAAAAATTCCCCTGTAGAAAAGAACTGATTAGAAAAATGGCCTAATGGGGGCTTCCAGTCAAGAGGGCAGAGTAGGTAAACACTGCCACCCCCTCTTGCGACAAGCTCAAAATTACAACTAAACTGGGAAAGAGCATCAGCAGGACTGGCCTAAAGCCTAGCTGAACTCGTCTCCTAGAAGGAAGGACCTAAAGAAGAGCCACGAGGAGGCTGGCAGGGGCAGCGATGCAACTGGCAGGTCCCACGCCCCCTCGTGGTGGTCAGTACCAGGAGGGACATCTCGGCTGTGAGGTCCCCCAAGAGGGGCGAGGGGTCCCAGCTCCACACCGGGCTCCCTATCCCAGGATGCCGACGCCTGAAAGAGGGGAACCCTGTGACACCCGGGTACAGACCAGAGGGAACTGTACCCGCGAGAGAAAGAGGCGGCTGGAGGCCAAGGCGCCCCCTTGAAGGGGCCACGCACAGGCTCACTCGCGCACGGACTCAGTAGGTCTGGAAACCGGGGCAGAGGCAGCAGCCCACCAGCAGGTGCTAGGGCCAGGGACTTTCTTACATCACATACGAAAATAAACTCAAAGGGGATTAATCACTTAAATATAAGACCTGAAACCATAAAACTCCTGTGAGCAAACACAGGCATTAATAAACTCTTTTGACATCATTCTAACCAGTATTTTACTGGATCTCCTTGGACAATGGAAACAAAAGGAAAAATAAACAAATGGGACTGTATTAAACTAAAAGTTTTTTGCACAACAAAAGAAACCATACACAACAAAATCAAGACAACCCACTGAGTAGGAGACAATATTTGCCAATGACACATCCAGTAAGCGGTTAATATCCAAATTATATAAGGAACTCATACAACAGAACGCCAACAATAAAATAAATAAACTAATTAAAAAATGGGCAGAGAACCTGAAGAGACATTTCTAATCCCAAGAGGCCAAGAGATGACCAACAGACACTTGAAAAGATGGTCAACCATACTAACCCTTGGGGAAATGCAAATTAAAACCGCAATGAGATACTACCTCGCACCCGTCAGAATGACCATCATCAATAAATCAGCAAACAAGTGTTGGCGACGACACGGAGTAAAAGGAAACCTTGTACACTGTTGGCGGAATTGTACGTTCATGCGCCTCCTATGGAAAACAGTATGGAGGTGCCTCAAAAAATTAAAAATAGAACTATGTGACCCAGCTATTCTGTAGCTGCGCATTCACCTATTGAAACCAAACACACAACCGCGAAAGGATGCCGCCGCCCTCTGTGCGCTGCAGCGTCGCTCACAGCAGCCGCGTCACGGGAGCAGCCCGGTGCCCGCAACACGTGCGCAGAGGAAGCCTCGGTGCGCACCCACATCGGAGGACAGCTCGGCCACGGGGTCCTGCTACCTGCGACAGCGCGGGCGGCTTAGAGCCCGCCGTGCTGGGTGAGATGAATCAGACAGAGGAAGACAAACGCCATGTGGCTTTACTTACACGTGGAATCTAAAAATCAAAGTAAACGAACCACCTACAAAGAAACAGACTCGCAGGTACCAAGGACACGCTGACGGCTGTCAGATGGGAGGGGTTGGTGGGACGGTTGAAATGGGAAGGAATTAAACACAAACTGGCACTTACAAAAGTAGTCACGGGCTGTAAAGTACAGCAGAGGGGATACAGTCAGCAACACTGTAATAACCGTGCCTGGCCTGGCGTCAGATGTGGGCCACGCTTACTGGGGCGATCCCTTCTTAAGTTACATAAATGTCAGATCGCTATGCTGCACCTTTGAAACTAGTATCATAGTCTATGTCAGCTATGCTTGGAAAAAAGTTTGTATTTTTTTAATAATGGCGTAATTGAGAGCAAGTCCACCTCCTACGTGCCAGGCAACCATCAGACGGGTAGCTACCCGTGCAGAGCCCTCAGCGCTGGGACCCTGCAGCCCAGGGGACGCGGTGAGAGCCGCCGGCAGGAGCCAGCGGCAGCGGCCACGGGCCCGAGGCAGGCGGCCCTGGAGCCACCGGCGCGCAGAGCCGCCAGAGTGCCAGCCTCCGACCGCACTCCGACCACGACCGACAGGCACCGGGGAGCCTACCTTTTCCTCAAAAACTAATTAATGTGCCCCACCTTTTTTTTTTAAATCACTAACATCTATTTCTCATGCGGTTTCTTTCACCCACTGCTGTAAGCACTCTCTGCCCATCCCCCCGAATAAAAATCACCTGCCTGGACCACCCAGCCATTCTAGTCACCGGCCCTCCGCCAGCACTGCCCTCCTGAAGACTCCCGAACATGCAGGCGTCCTTACACTTACCATGCAGTTTTAAAGATTTGAACATTTAAACTTTAAAAACCTAATTTAGGAATATGGTAGAAATAATTCATACACAGTATTTGAAGACAAATTGAATTATCTTCTGAAAATTGATTTGAGCTTACAGAAATCATTTTTTATGTTTACACGACGTAACTTTTTTAGATGACTGAACAAATAACAATAATGGTCACCACTTAAATAATAGCAGATGCTCAGTATTTAACAATTAACAATACTAAACCAAAAAAAATAAACAAATAACCTAAAAAAATAAATTCTTGACAACTCCAAAAGATTGCTCTTGGCAAGAATGATAAAAACATGATAATTCATAATTTATTCACATTCATACAAAAAAAATAAGCCTTACCTTAGTATAGTGCAGAAGAGAATTGGCAAAGAAACGACACAATTTGAGTGTTTTTTGAAATAATCTGTAATCAGCATTATCCTGTTTCAAAAACGGAAGAAGGCATAATAAATAAAAGAATATGAAATTAGCTTAATTTGTAAATGAGAGAACATTTTCTAAAAAGGTCTCTTAATAAACACTGAAGAGTGGAAACATTTTCCAAGAAAACACAATTCTACACTGAACTGTTAGGAGCAATACAAACACCACATGATGATAGAGGTACTTCAAAAAACTTAAACTCCATGTTACTGAAAATAAATCTTAATATACAATAGCAAAAAAGGTGAACCTTCTGGGCTGATCTAAAGGTGAAAGGAATTTAAATGCCTTATTGTTCTGTGCTATATGCAGATGAACAGAGGGTCAAGAGAGTCTTACAAACCAATAAAAGAATGACATATAAAATAGACAAAAGGCATAAGGCAGTTTACAGAAAATAACCAGTTGCTTCTATCTTGACATTTTCAAAAAGCAAGTGCAGGGCAGGCAGCCGGCCCCGCCGTGGGTCCTGAGCTCTGTGGGCAGAACGCAGCAGCCGCTGCCCCGCACAGGGGCTGGGGCATAGCCCAGGGGGGCCCTAACTCCGTGTTTCAGAAGACAGTGCCCCTGCTTCCTCCCTTTAAACGAAACAGGAATAATACTGATTAAGAACTAAATGCAGCAGGCAATAAAGCTCAGTGCGGGCAATAATTAGGAAAGCATGTTTATTTTCAGAATACAAATTTCTAAAAGCAATGTATAAACAAAAGTAGGAATTACAGAGGACGTTCAATTTGTACTAAAGAGCCTTCCAAATAAACGTCCCTATCTTCATAGAAAAACTAGGTCACGGGTGGACAAAAGACATGCTGATGGCAGGAGGGACAGAAAAGAGAAACAAGAGAGCGCGCTAAAAAGCCTACCATTTCGAAAGCACGCTCAAGACCTAACCGAGAATGAATGCCGCCTCACTCTTTCTGGCTGTTATGGACTGAACAACGCCCCCCAGGAACATGCTGAACCCCTAACCCTCGCACCTCAGAATGTGACTGTACATGGGAGTAGGGCCACGGCGGAGGCAAGGCGCTGAGGCGAGGCCATGCGGGAGCGGGATGCGCCCTGACCCGATCGACTGGTGTGAAGATGGTGTGAAGACACAGGAGACTCCACGCGTGACGAGGGAGGCAGAGGCCAGGGTTCCAGAGAACGCCCACCGCACCAGGAGCGGAGCCACGGGCACGGAGCACAGGCTCCCCTGGACGCTCAGAGAACAAGGCCCTGCTGACGCGCGTCAGACTGCGACCCCAGGGACTGGAGTGGATGTCTGTCACTTCACTTAAGCCCCCTCGTTTGTGGGCATCTGCTACAGCAGCCCGGTAAATAAATACAGGGAATGACAGACACTTAACCCTTCTATTAATAGCACATGACTAATTAAATCTAGTGGATTTAAAGATTTTTGAAAACAAGGTGAAAACCCTAGTACTTGGAAAACTTTGATTCCACAAATATCAACAGTGAACAGAAAAAGGGCGCTGCTGATCAGTATTTAAAGTAAAGAACAGAGAAACCATGCACCAGGGCAAAGCTCCACTTCCGCCAAGGGACAGCGAAGAGAGATGGACAAAGTTCAGTCCCAAATGTTCACAAATTAGGAAAAACCTGGAAGTCTGCTTGGAAGTTAGGAAAATTTACCACGTAAATTCTCGGATTTTCACCTGCAAACAGGTGGTAAGAGTTGAACTTGTACACCTGGTACAAACAGCCACCCTGGCCAGGTGCCCGCTGGACCTGCCCCTCCCTCCCTCGCGGCAGGGGCCTCTGCCCCGCCTCCCCCTCCCAGCACCGACTGGCTGGCGCTGTGGCGTCAGGGAAAGCGAGCGGGGGCTGGGGGGAGAGGGGGCTGGGGCCGGGGGCACAGAGTCAGAAGAGAGCGGAGGGCAAACGACCCCTGCCTGGCACGGTGCCCACCCTGCCGCCTCTCCTCTCGGCGAGGTCAGGGGAAGCCAGAAAGTGCAGGCAGTGGGGACGCCAGGAATACAAGGGGGAGAGAGAAGGGGTGTGAGGGGTGGACAAGAGAAAAAGAGAAGAGGGAGGGGCCAGTCCCTTCCCGAGCTGCCCCCTCGCCCCCTCAGCAGCCCCAGAACTGCCTTCCAAACCTCCGCCCTCAGCCGACACCTGCCTCCCCAGACCACCCCTGCCCCGTGGCCACCCCCGGCGGTCAGGACCGGGGGACCCTCCTTCCCCCGCCCTCTGGGCGCCCGGCGGGAGGACGCAGGCAGGAAGGTGTTCCCCGGGCGGCCTGCAGGTCTACAGCAGGGGGAGCGTGCTGCGGTTCCTCCAGGAAGAAACGTTTGCCCTAATTCCCATTGAAATATGTATCTGTCAGGTCTTGAGTACTATTAATCCTGTAATTTAGGGCTTTATGAGTTAAATAAAATTTAAAGGGCAAGTCTGAGAACAAAAGGCTCTATGTATAACACTGTCATAGGAAAATGAACAATTCTCAGAAAGCATATTAGAAATAAATTTTTAGAATACAATGGTTCATAAATGGGATGCCAATCCAACACTGTGTAACTCTCTGAAATCCAAATAAATGCAAGTTCACATGGATTTTAGAAGAGACACACACACACAGAGTTGTATCTTGCGGGACTGCAGGCTGCCCTGGGCCGGTGAAGAGAAGGCTGGGTGTGCAAATAAATACGGGGCTAACACATCAGACTTTGTCTCAGGGCAGAGAAGGAAAGACGGTGCGGAGGCCCTGACCGACCAGTCAGCACCCACGGAGGAGCGACAGGTGCTGCAAGGGGAGTGAGAGCAGCCAGGCGTCTAAGGCAACGTCCTGGGTGAAGAGGAACTATGGGCTGTAATTCCACCTCACAGACTGAAAACAGACAAAAACGCGACGATCCGAGGCACAGCGAGCAGTACAGCGACACACGCGACTCCGGAGCCCCAGAGTCGCCGGAGCGGACAGGCGCCGCGGAAGCGTGCGTACCTGAGCCCCTGCCGGGGCCACCTGCTCCGCGAGCTGCAGGCAGGCCTGGAAGGAGCAGAGTGTGTCCTCACACAGGCTGGCGATGATGTCTCTGTGCTTCAGCTGGCTCTTTACAACCGACTGGTGCTTAAGGCTCTGCCTAAGTGATGACAAAGCAAAGAGCAGTCACAAGTATCATGTCAGGTACCTTTGGGCCATGAAAATAGGATGCAGGAACGTGTAAAAACTCAGTGCACACACGAGACATGACACAGGATGCGATGCCCTTACCTATGAAGCAGCTACGGTACTTTTAAGTTACTGTTTTTTTAATTCTCTGCGTAAAACATGCTGGTCCCTTTGCCGGCCTGGGGAGTAGAGAGGGGAAGGGAGGCACCGCCTCCGGCCTGTCCGCACGGGCACGGGACCCACGCGGGGCACAGGGGGAGTGTGGCTGCGATCGATGTGAAGATGGAAAAGGCCAGCGTGCTACCACGGACGGACCTGATCCAGCTCATTCTTAGGGTGAGGACACCAAGGACGCTACCATGGAGATGCGGCACTTGAGCTGAGAACTCAAAGGCCCGCCGGCATTAGCAGGGTACACAGGACAAGGAGCCCCCTGGCAGAGGCAGAGGCTGTGACAAGGTTCCGGGACAGGAGGGCTCCGTACATTCCAGGAACTAAGGGCAGGGAGCGAGCAGCGGAGACTGGCTGCTGCAGAAGGCAGAGCCCCGAGAGGGTTGTTAGGTCGTCGCTCTTGGTAAACTGGGGTGGACCCGAAGCCGTTGAGTGACATTATCTGATTACAATTTTTAGAAGCTCCGTCTGAACGGCGAGTAGGAAGTGAATTGGAAGGGGCTGAGAATGGAAGACATTGGTGACGATGGCGGTGGGGGTGGGGACGATGGTGACGGCGACGGTGGGGACACTGGTGACGGCGACGGTGGGGGTGGGGACGATGGTGATGGTGACGGTGGGGACACTGGTGACGATGGCGGTGGGGACACTGGTGACGGCGACGGTGGGGACAATGGTGATGGTGACGGTGGGGGTGACGGTGGTGACAGTGGGGGGGATATCAGCGATGCTGGCGGGGGGCTGGCGGTGACACAGCTAATTTGTTGAGCATTCACTCCGCGCCACACCGCCTCCTAAGCGTTTCACTCGGATAAGCTCGCGCTGTGACCCCGCCACAGAAGCGCCCTGCTACCAGGCCTGGCCCCGGATGAGCGAGCCAAGTTCAGGGAGGTCTACCAAGGTGCCCAAGCGCTGAGGAGCGTGAGTTATTCCAGAAGAGACCCAAGCAGCACGCAGCACGGCCCGCGCTAACGCCCTGACCGCCGCGCTGTTACCTGTCGGCCACTGAATGAGCTCAGGACTAGAACACGGACCTTCAATGTTTTAGGCGTGTACATGAAATGGAGGTTCTTAACCATTTTCACATCTCAACTGCACCTCCTCCTGCACCCAAGAACCTGACGAGCACCGTGGATGCTCTCCCTAGAGACCCTGCATAATACTCCAGTTAAAGTCACTTCGTAAAAGAATTAAAGTTGAACAACTCAAAGGCTTATAAGGAAGGAATTACATTCGGCTCTAATTGTAATTATTAATGTATCTTAGCCTGGAAACAGGATCCATAATAGTCTCTTAAGCAGCAGCAGCGGCAGCCAAGTGATTCGAGGCCAGTTCAGAACCACAGTCCATGAGTTCCAACTCCCTAGCTACTAGGGAAAACTTCTGTTAATTCTGGAGGCAGCAGGGTGAAGTCCAGTCTGTTTTGGGACTACGTGCAGGGTTATCTAGGTCATCAGAGCAGGGTCAACGAAGGTTATATATGCCTACAGGGAGTGTTTAAAATGCGAACTAACACAAATAATTACAGTTTGAGATATGGAAAGTTACAAAAATTAGAAACAAAAAACTTACTTAATTATAAATTTCCAAGTATTGGCGTGAAATGCGTGGTCCATACTGGAAATAACAGAGCAGATATCCAACAATGAGTGAATAACTACAAAGAAAGATAACAGAATACTTAAAACATTCAAATATCATTCGTTTTGCCTATATTTAAAAGCGTCTACTGAACAATTTGACATTTGATAAAACAAGTAACACAGCTGGTAAAAATTATGTCAAAATAATTACTGAAAAAGTGGTACACTTTTAAGGTTTTTATAAACTATGGAAAATAAACTTCTGAAGTTTACACCTACCCTACGACCTAAATAAAACTACAATGTGAGTGGAATAAAGGTGTACCCTATTATAACTGAAATATTCTCTATGTAGAATTCTACTCTAGAATGATGAAAAGAACCTGAGGCAAGAAAATTTAACGAGGAAGAATTAGAACTAATTTGCGCAGTTCTCACTTAAGGCTTCCCCCGTCTGCGGCGGATTACTTATAAAAATGGCCACAGTAACTTCCCTCTGCCTCCGCGCTCTTGGGCAGAGCCCTTCCGCACAGACGCTGGGCTTAGCCAATGGTCTGCTTCGGTCCGCAGGACAGTGACAGCTGCAAGGCAGGCAGAGACTTGAAAGGCGGGGCTTGCCCTTTCTTGCTGCTCCTGGGAACCCTGAGGCCGCACGGGGGACAGAGCCCAGCCAGCCTGCAGGGTGATCGCTACGCACAGCCAGCTCAGTGCTTCTGCCCGCTCCGACGGCCCGGTGCAGGCGAGGTTGCTGACCACACCGTGGGCGAGCCACTGCGCCACGTGGAATGGAGACGGCTGTCCTGGCAGAGCCGGGCACAAGCCACTGACTCACGGACCCATGAGTCACTAAAATGGTGGCTGTTTTAATCCACTAGAGTTTGGGGTGGTTTGCTACAGAGAGAAAGGCACCCGATGCGCTGCCCCAAACCGACTTCCACTTCACAGTGAAGCAAGGCTGCTCCCTTCGCCCCTAAACTGCTCTCCAAACTCAGGGCCACGGCCCGCTGGTAAGGGCAGCCGATTCTTTAAAACTTAAATAGAATGCAACAGGGTCTATCACACGTAAGGTGGGTACTGTTTCATGTAGAGTTAATCAATGTGCACACACATATGGGCACACACGCACACACATCTGTAATTATATGTGTTCCGAGAGGGACCTGCAAACCGCCTCTCGTACTGCGAGCCGCGGCTGAAGACGCCCACAGCCCCCAGCCGCGCGCCTGGAGCTCTGCAGAGGGTGTGCGGTCCCAGGCTCTCGTTAACCACTGCCGGGGAAATCACCTACTGTGAACATCGTCTGAATATACAAAGCCAATGGTAAGGCATCAAACATCAATTTTAAGTCCTAAATTTAAAAGGTTAAGTGTTTACCCGGTAGGATTTACTTCTCACACGTAAGGTGTCCCGGGTCAGCAGACACAACGCTGGGTCAAACCGCTGATCCGCGCGACCTGCAGGCGGCGCCCGCACCTCTCCCCAACTCACCCACCACCATGTTCCCAGCGCCGCCGTCCCCACCGCCTGCAGGGGCCGCGTCGACCGCGTCCAGCAGTTCCATGAGCTGCTTTTGAAGAGAATAGGCCTCCTTGAAAAGAGCCTGGAGAAGGTCTGAGATGAGGTGCACACGCCCAGAATAGACAGACTCACTGTTCTGCTCCAACAAATGAGAGAAAAAAAAAAAAATCATAGAAAGCTCAAAAGCCAAATTCACTTTCACTCATACTATCAAAGACCACAAATTTTATGCTTTTCACTGAATCACATATTTGTACATGAAACAAAGGTTTAGTGAACATCTGTTAAGCACAGTGTCCTTCAAGAGAGGCAAGCTTGTACCAAACGAGGTGACTTCTGAGAGCGCGCGAGGACAGCACCGAAAGGGAGATGAGCGCCCTGGGCCAGGGGCGCGACCACACGGCCCCTACCACCAGAGGAGCAGCAGCCAACGAACAGCAACCTCAAAGCGGCCCGCGGCGTGAGCGCCTTCAAGCCGCCTCAGGGACGCAGAGGAGCCGCACAAGGCTGCAGAGCCCCTCGCAGGGACCTGGCCCTTACAGAGTTCATCCGTTTTACCGACATCGCGGCAGAGCTATTTCAGGGTCCCTGTGACGCAACACAAATTCTATCACTTCTTTCTTGGTAGAGAGGAAACAGGATAAAACAAACAGAAGGCAAAAGCCCACTTTTTATTACTTCTTTGTAACCATACTTAAAAATATTTACATACATGCTTTTAGTTCTGTGGCAAAGTCTATTCCAATAACACAGGCTACAATGTGTATTCTTACGTACACACCCTCTTTTACTCAGCCCCTTTGCCCTTGGGTTCCAGGGGTTCAGTGTGCGCCTGGACGACTCACTCACCTTGCAGTGCACAAAGGTGCTTCTGATCACGTGCAGGACCGAGGAAGGGAGGCTCTGAATGTTTTCTAGAACAACGGGCTCCTGTGTGGCACAGACGTGCTGAACACACCCTGTAAGAGCTCCTAAGACCTGCACCATTGTCTGAAAACAAGGAAAGAAAGTTCACTCAGAACATATTTTTTGTGCAACTAAAAACTGACAGGCTGGGTGCTAGAGATGGAGCAGTGAACAAAATGGACTCTCTGTTCAGTCTATCGGAACAACCAAGGAGCCACTTGGTTAAAGAGAAAGAAAAGTTGGAATCCTAACCCACATGTCAAAAAATACGGCTGTCTTTCTGCCCAGGTACTTTGAAATGACAGGTAGGGCCTGCTATCTCCATTACCTGTCATCCTTTATGAGTCTGGAAGTACGCTCAGCACCAAATTGTACAAGTTCGGAATTCCTGTTTCCGTATCCCTGCCTCTCATTCTACATATGTGATTCCAGCACGGGGCTGTTACATGAAGAATACAAGCCTCAATGATGTCAGTATAAAAACTCCCGTGCTCTTCGAGCTCCCTCTGTCTATCCTTTTCTGATACGTTGGACTTACTTGTAAAATGTTCCTTAGAGTGCTCTGGATTTCTAAATTTTGGCTTGACAGTTCTTTGGCTTGACTGGTTAACTCACACATCATATCATCAAATAATTTCACAGTCTGTAAATACAAAGCAGATTATAGTAGGAATAGAAATCACTAGAAAAGATATCTTTTAAAAAATTAGATGATTTTTATTTGTCTAGCTTGACAATTACACCTAATTTAGTTTAAAATATATACTGTTATATGTATAACATACAGGGTGGGGCAAAAGCAGGTTTACAGTTATGTGGAACAGCTTATTCTTGCATTAGTATTTGTTGATTACTGTACTATTTTCCATATGAACAGCTGTAGACCTACCCTGCCCCACCCTATCTACAGCGACTCTAGAGTATAATCTCTTTTTAAACAGACCTCAGACAGAAACAGACTTGTTTTCCATTTCTGCGGTTTGAATCTAATAACAGGAATTTAAAAAATCATTCAAAGTCCATTTTTTCGGTGACATCGCAAACCTAAGTGCCACCCCTCACACAAGAAAGGTGAGGGCCTTGCCCCGGCCCGGCGGCCCGGCTGCTCGGGGCATCATCCCGCACACAGAAAGGCTACGGCTTGGGAGGCGACCAACCAATGTTTCTCGCCCTTTCTCTCCCCTGCTCCTTCCTCTCACTCTAATAATCAATAAAAATATCCTTGGGTGAGGGTTAAAAGATGATGGTCTTAATCAATTCACACAGGCACCCAGTCACAAGCGTAATTTCTGCTCAGCTGGAGAATTTGTGCTCAATCTCCTACTCACTTGTGTTCTAACCAGTTGGCCTCTTCAACCAACTCCAAACCCAGTTCCTGGGACGAAGGCACAGTGTGCGACCTCAGACCTAAGTTTTTCACCTGTGAAAAGTGAGCCACCTTAAGACCTTACTACTAGGATCTTTCTAGACAATTTAAATGACGCGCACATCGCAGTAACAGGCGCACAGTGAGCCACCGCGGGTGATGAAAGAGGACCCTGCGTCTCCCACGCCTGCTGGTGCTCAGCACCCGGTTTCCACCTGAGGCTGCCACGCCTCTCCTGGTGGCCGCGCACGGGCTCTGAGCAGCTTTTCCAACAGAGGGTAATCAAGGGAATGGGAGTAAAAGGGATTCTGAGGAGCCTCTGCTTCAAAGCTGAGTTTCCAAGAAATCCATTCCAATAAGGCAAGAAGTTATTTTAAGTGCATGTTCCACTGTGGCACCAAAGTACCTTTGCTTCTCTCAATTAAAGAAAAAGACTGCTTTTCAGACAAAAAGTATATGTCTAAAAAGTAATACAGTCTGTAAATGTAATGCTTTCTCTTAGTTACTTGATTTTATCGGTATTCCAGCGTCTTTTATCCTAAGACTTCTTTAATAAACCTTGGGTCCACTTCTCCAGACAATGTCATTTAACAATTACTAATAAACTCTACAGGAAAGGCACAACAAAGGGACTTGCTAACTCTACCACCCAACCCAAATTTTCACTTAACAGCATTAAAATACAAGAGCCCTTAAAATTAACTACAAATAATTTAAATTCAGTTAGTAAAGGACCCACACTATCGGAAAACAATAGCTTTTAATCACCTAACTACTCTACCACCACCACATTCTCACACGAGATCCCTTTTCTACTACTTTGTGTGATAAATGTGATACATTAAAAAAAGAACCACAATTAAGAATGCTCTAAAGCAGGTGTTAGATTTTAAGAGCCTTTGTAACCTGCACATTATTAAGAAGATAACACTACTATACCTTTGGCAGCACTTGTGAAAAGAAAGTCTGTTCCAATGTCAGGTGGTTCATATGAGGTAAAAACAGTTCTACAGTGATTTTCAGAATTTCTACAAAGCAAAACAGTAACACACTTTGTAGGAATGTTAAGTCATGCCAGGCACCAAAGATCATTGCTCTTTGCAAATGTCAGAGTATATAAGCGCCAAAGACAGAAAGCATTGTGCAGTTTCAAAAGCTACCACCTATGCAGAGAAACTATTAATTAACTGAAATAATAGCAAAAAAAGGGGAAGTACGTCCAGTATTTGAGGGCCAGTTAATGGATATGGTTATCTTTATTGAATAGGATCTGTGATCAGTTAAAATGATTCTGAGTGATAATTTAAAACCATGAAAAAATGTTTATAGCACTTCAAAATTAAACAAAAAGGTCCAAAAATAGCACCCCAACTTTAACATATATTAAAATGTACATACAAGGAGTAACAGACAATCTGGCAGGAATGTACAGAAATGAGATGAGAATGTTCTACATTAAAATCTTAACCATTTCAGATCCATGGGTGTTTTATAGTCTTCTGCTTTTCTGTTTCAAATTTTCTATGAGTATGTATAGTTCATACTCAAGATAAAAAATAATTGTTTCTTATAAAAATTAAACTTCAACAGGCAACAGAGATTCAAAATTATAAACAAATATTCCATAACCATTCTAACTAAAATAAATGTAACCTCTGCAGTCTAGTCTTTGTTCTCTGCCTCCTGGCCAAGTCAGTCACGCCAAGTTAAGAGCGCTGAAGACAGGTCAAGATGACAAAGTCAATTTTCTCCCAATGACAAATGCGTCCTCACCAACATAACCAGCTTTCTGCAACCTTGGCACTATTTCCTAAATGCTGCTTCTCACGAGAGCGGCTGGGAGCAGCAGGCATTTCACACAGGCTTAACCGCGGTTTAGCAGCTGCCATTTAAAAATCACACTGTGCTTACACACGCATTATTAAACAGAGCACATCGCTACTCCTGAAAACAGAATTTAAAACTAAGTACTGTATTGTAATTAGGAGTTTGGGCATTTTAAGCAACTGAAGGTTATAGAAGCTGTACCACCAAAGGAAAAGATTCAATTTCAAGGGAATACAAAACTGTACTGAGGTAAGTATGACTCAGATCATAACATCACAATAAATCATACAATTAAGATACTTACGAATATGCTCAGTCCAACTGTCGGAATGTTGATACATGGAGTAAGATAATTAAGGAAAACCATAGTAATAGGAGGCTCAGTACTGACAATAAATTTAAGGGGGCCATTCTTGAGGTGTAAGCCATGATCCACAGGAGACTGAAATCGGACTCCAATTATCGGTGTGATTTTGCTGCTATAAAGTTAATGCTATCAGGTAAACAAACAGTATTACGAAAATACTTTACAGAAATATTTTCAAAATTGCCTTTTCGAGCTATGTGTAGCCGTAAAATATTGCTGACAGATGACAAACAGTGTGCTACAGTAAACCACGGACTTCTGGTTCCTAACGCAGGAAAGCAATTTCTCCCTGCTTCGCATTTGTACAGTACTTTATTTGTATCTGTCTTAAGTCACTCATCACTTTCTTCTTTTCATATTATTTGCATACCTTTCTTACCGACCTTATCAGACTGCAATGCTTCTGCACACAGCAGGAGCTTACAAAAAATGTCATAGTAAATTATCCTAACAGTAATCACATTATAAAACACATACTTATATACCATCAAGAATTGCTAGAAATGTTACAATGTAAAAACCATTAAAGAATGTGTCAACAAGAAAAATGAATATGCCATAACCCCATCACACTAATAAAAATAAATTTTTTTTTTTTTTAAATTCTCACCCTAGGAAATGTTCACTAATCTTAAAGAAACATCAGTTGGTTGCCTCCTGTATGCGCCAACCTGGGATCAAACCCACAGCCCAGGTCACGTGCCCTGACCAGGGACTGAACCTACCACCTTCTGGTACATGGGATGATGCTCCAACCGAGCCACCTGGCCAGGGCCGGTTTTCTTCTGCACTCTGAATGTTGCACATTTCCTATAATGAGTATAATGAGTATATTTTTGCAGCAGCATTCAAAATGAGCTACAGTCGTTAATCTTGAGTCTGGCAGGACATAATTTGCCTTAAGGGAAAATTTCAGCAAAGGTCAAAAAAATTCTAGTCTCTTTAAAAATTAAGCGTAATTATGATTATGAAGACATGCAGGCAAAAACTGGGAAGTAACATGTAAAATGCAAAACATGAAAATAATTGTGTCAGCGATGCAACAGTGGATTTATTGCAAACTTTAATTTGTTGAAAATATCTAGTGAGACTTCCAGGCATTTAAAAAGCACAGTACTTTTAGCCCTTTACTCAGCGCTTAGTGCGTACCAGGCCCTGCCGCAGGTGCCAGGATGCACGGGGAAAACACAGCTCCTGTCTTTAGGAACCTGTGTGGTGGGGGAAGGTGGAAAGTTAACGAGATGATTTCTGTTAATGACAAAGTCCTCTTTAGAAAACCCCACAGGACAAAGTGACCGAAGTGTTGCAGACTGGGTTTGGGGGAACCACCTAAAACTGAGGGCTCTGAAAAGAGCCACATGGGGTGACAGCAGGTCAAGACGTACACCGGCTGCGCCAACAGCTGGGGAACCAACCAGCCTGCGCCTGTGATCAGAGGCTCCCCAGCCTCAGCTGCCTGTGGGCGGAGCAGAACACAACCAGCGAGGCAGGAAAGGGGCAGGGCTGGATTTTCATTCTGATACACTGCAAAGCACTGGAGGGGCGGGAGAATTTAAAAAGGACATGACACGCAGTCTTTCACTCTGAACTACTTCTCGAGAATCGATTACCAGGGGGGAGTCAAAAAATAACCCTGGAATTTATTAAAAATTGCATATTTATTTTTACATGTTTAAACTTCGGTCACCTTCAAAGTACTCTCCATCTGACGCAATACACCTATCAAGATGTTTTTTTCCACGGCTCAAAACAGTTTTGAACCCGTTGATTCTGACGCCTTTTGGTGCTTCTGCCATTTTTTGTTTCACCTCTCCCACGTCCGCAAAAGTTTCCCTTGGAGGAGTTTTTTTATTCAGTCACTCAAAGCAAGGTTGGGAGAATAGGGAGGGCGGGGCAGAGGTGATGCCATTTTTAGTCAAAAACTGCTAAACACTCAGCTGGCTGTGGGCAGGTGTGCTTGTAAATCACCCATCATCCAATGGGCAAACACAGAGTCTTCAAAAAAAAAAAAAAAACCTCCCCCCGCCCCCACTCCCAGCGGAGCAGAGGCAGCCTCTCACACCATCAGGTGCGTAGCTGGGGTCCTAGAACACTCACCTAGTGGGGGAAGTACTACAAGGGGCTCCCCCTCCAGAAGATAATTCGGACGAATTTTATTTGGGGCCCCTCTCTGTATAAGACATGAAACTCCAGGGTTTGGAACAGTGGTAGCAACTGGGGATGGAGATAAGTGATGGATTCAAGATACGGTTTGAAATCAGAGACAGCAGACACTTGCTGATTGATGTGAGGATTCACAATGTGTGAAACCATTTACCCTAAGTCCTCACTTAACCTTGTCCATAGGTTCTAAGACTTAGAGCAACACGATGTGTAACAAAACCAATTTTTCCAAAGCCTTACTGACATAAACAAGAGTTAGGTTCCTACTTTATAAAGAAACGACTTTAAACAAAATTACATAATTGGAAGACCTGCTCTTTTTCAAGGAAGAAAACTGCGGGAAGAACAGGTTTGAGTCCTTCTCAGTGTTAAATGTGAGGTGCAAAACCTGGTGGGAATGCTGACTTTCAATTTCTGAAGCCCCCCTATAAGCTGGAGGGGAAGAGGAAGAACCATGTTCCTCACTTTCGTTACTCCAAAGCCTGCCACGCCGCCTGACCCACACATGTTAGGGACCCAGGAAATGTGTTTCAGGTGGACAGTTATTTTGTTTCCCAAGTCAAAATGCTTGAGAATGGCGGCTCCACGTCTGCTCCACTAACAAAGGAAGGGCTTTCCTACCCAGCAGGACTGCTCTATGGCGAATGACACATATGGGGCGGTCACATTTGTATTTGGCTTCAACTGTAAAAATTATTTGTGCAGTGCTGACAGTCTCTCAAGTGAAGGCCATTTTTTCTTTCGTTGAAGGTGAGCGCAAAGGCATAAAAAAAAAATTACCTCTTCACATGAAAGGCTAGGGCTCCAGGCACATTTACAATCGCAAAGGCACGAAACTACTAAAGAATGGTCTGCACCTGGACAGCTGAGGCATCGGCCACTCAACCCCAGCAGATGGAACCAATAAAAAAGTCAGCAACTCCTAATCAGCAATTTAAAAAGAGAGAGAGAGATGGGAGAAGGGAAGGACACTTTAAGGTCGTTTACACACCTGGCACCGCGGCAGAACTCTGTCTACAATCCTCACGATACGGGAGAAGGCATTACTCACATCCACCACCCACCTTAGAGGTAAGAGCTAAGAGCGTCTCTCCACCCCGCCCAGCTTAAGCTCCGGGTTCGCTTTACTGCTTGGGTTCGAGTCCTTGCCTCCTCGGCTCTCCTGTGCAGAAGTATGTATACTTAATTGCATATGACAAGTATAGAACAACTCCAAGGCAGAAGAACGGGCGAGAACGCCACTTCCCCTGCCGCAATCATGGAGGAGGGCGCCCGTGCGAGCCCTTGCAATCCCAACACCGGGCACGGTCCCCGCTCGCCCCCCGTCCCCTCGCCGCTCCACCTCGCTCGCCAACAAAGAGCCGAGAGGGCTCAGGCCGCGGAAGACAGCACGTCCCGGCGGCGGGTGTGACCGGGCCCAGGAGAGAAGCGCGACACCGGCCGCACGCCCCTCTCCAGGGGCCAGCGACAGCCAAGGATATGACGAGCCGAGGCAGGACAGTCGGCAGTTCCCGGCGGCACAGGTCCTCCGGCCAGCTACTCAATTCCTCCAGGGGAACTGCGCTCGTCGCGACGGCGCGCTCCTGCGACATGCTTTCGCCCGGGAGCCAGCTTCAAAACAGTCCCGCCACCGCCACGACCGGAAACGCCGCCGTCCCGGCGGGCCTTGCGAGCTCTACGCCGGCGCCAGAACCATAGAGAGGGAGCGGGCTGCGTTCCTTGCTGGGCCTGGGCCGCGCGCGGTTGTGGGAAAAAGCGGGCTTATCTGGCCCGCGGAGGACTCGACTCGCTGGTGCGGGCTCTCAGTCCCGAGCGTCCGGCCCGAAGTCGGCTTTCTCTACGCCGGGAGCGGGAAGCTGGCTGGGCTGCGTGCGTCCCCAGGTCTGGATCGCTGTCAACGTTACATCGAGGCGCATTAGGGAGGTGAGGGCCGGACGTCCCCAGTTCCCACCCTCGATACCAAGGGGCTTTGAGGTTGCACATCTCGGGTGGGGTGTGCCCGAGACCTGCGGCGGGTACAAAGGGCACGTTCCTACCCACTTAGCCATGTGGCCCTGCCTTGTACCTCTTGTGTAATGGGAATACAGACCCCACCTGCCAGAACTGTGCGATTCGAAGCAGATTTAGCTCCGCAGATACAGAGAAGAATCTCGGTACAGTTGCTTCCACTTTCACGGGTGTCTCCAAACGTTCAGTACCCTTATTTTGTGTTTGTTCTGCCACCAAACCGACCCTTACTGATTACTCCAGAAGCACGCCAGTCCCATCCACTTGGGGCTGCTAGTCTCCTCGAAATGTCGTGAGGTCAGTTGGGGGAACTTGCACCAAAGCAGACCCGTGTGAGTTTTTACAGGGCTACCCACTTACCAAGATTAACTTGGATCCGTCTTGAATCAGGAACAGATTGAAGCGGTGCGGCGCCTTAGCAGCTCCTGTGTTTGGGCAGGACCGTGGTGGGTGACAGACACCAAGGAGCCACGCTTGTCATTTCCTGCCCCCAAATTTTGGACTTTACATTTTTATTTCTAGTTGTTGCTGCTGTCGTTCTTTCACTTGGTTTTACTCTTCATCTCTTCTCCAGCTTTCCGCCCCTGAGGGTGGGTGTGCTTCCATGTCTGCATGTCTCCGTCGCAACTTCTGCAGAAAAAGCTGCTGGATGGAGGGCCGGGGTTACCGGTTAATGTTAGGAGGGCATGCGTCATTTTGCTTTTCAATAACAATTTTATTTCTTCTCCAGAGTTCAACTGAAAGAAAAGCAAAGACCTCTAAGAAGTCATTCAGAAACATCTTTAAATATTTGTAACTGTGTATAAGCAGCTAAAGAGATATTGACCCAAACGAAGCTGCTTGAATAAGGGAGACAGGTTTGTTATGTTCCTGTCATCAGTCCTATTCAGAAGCTGAGGAGACTTCCTTCGAAGTGGAGGATTGTGTGAGGATGACCTTTCAATTTAATTTCACTATAGAGGACCACCTGGAAGATGAATCAACACCCCTTGGAGATGGAGCTTTGACCCCGAATTCCTCAAAAGAGTCTTCAGAAAGTCAAAATGGTAAACACGGGGACACAGGCTGTTCTAGAGAACAGTGTGACCTCCCTGCGGACCCCTTGTGGGCACGGGAGCCGGAGGGAAATGCAGCTCACCCTCAGGACACAGACAGCTCCGTCAATGCAACCAGCCGGTCAGGTAACTTGGAGCCTCATGGAAAACAGCCCGGCTTGAGACCTGCGAAAGAGCATGCTGTGCCTAAGGATGTAAAGGAAGTGATGGAAAATAAAGTCCTAGAAACGTTACCAGGCCTTCAGCAGGTTAACATGCAGGTTGTGAAAACCATCTTGTTGAAAGAGAACTTTCCCGGGGAAAACATAGTTTCAAAAAGCTTTTCCTCTCACTCTGATCTGATTACAGGTGTTTACGAAGGAGGCTTAAAAATCTGGGAATGTACCTTTGACCTCCTGGCTTATTTCACAAAGGCCCCAGTGAAATTTGCTGGGAAAAAAGTGTTGGATCTTGGCTGTGGATCGGGGCTGCTGGGTATAACTGCACTCAAGGGAGGGGCCAAAGAAGTCCATTTTCAAGATTATAACAGTATGGTGATTGATGAAGTAACCTTACCTAACGTAGCCGCTAACTCCACTCTGGAGGATGAGGCATATGATGGAGACGAACCAGATTTGAAAAGATGCAGGAAATCAAAAGTAGCACAAGAACTGTGTAAATGCCGGTTCTTTTCTGGAGAGTGGTCTGAGTTTTGTAAGCTTGTACTAACCAGTGAAAAAGTCTTTGAAAAATATGATCTCATTCTCACCTCAGAAACCATTTACAACCCAGATTATTATGATTCTTTGCACCAAACATTCCTTAGGCTGTTAGATAAAAATGGGCAGGTGCTTTTGGCGAGCAAAGCACATTATTTTGGTGTAGGTGGAGGTATCCACCTCTTTCAGAAGTTTGTAGAAGAAAGGAATGTATTTGAGACTAGAACACTTGAAATAATTGATGAAGGACTAAAAAGATTCCTCATTGGAATGACTTTTAAGTACCCTAGTTAACATCATCCACAGAGTGACATGAACCGAGTGGAATAAACAGAATAACTGAAAACTTGTTTTGAGTGTTTAATATTTCTGCTTTGCTATTTTTTTCCCTGAAATTAGGATTCAATGAAATATACTTGCGGGATGTCTGTTAACTAGGTACTTTGTATAGCATCCTGCTTAATATGCATACGCTTACGAGGTATAGTTCATCCTCATTTTAATAATGATCGCCATTCATTCAGGACTTACTTCATGCAGGGCAGAGGAGCTGTGCACATACTAACACTTCGTAACAGCCCTGCATTCGGTTCCGGTTCAGGTGATGGTTGGGTTATAGCTAATGTCTCCATTTTACAGGTAAAGGGTTATAGCACACCCCACGCCAACCGTTAGGAACTCAGTTATTCCAAGGGGCACACGTGTGTTATGAGGATGAGCTTCGGAGGCCAATGCCTTGGGCTAGAATTCAGTTTCCCCATCTGTAAGGCAGGGTTTATAGTAATAGCAGCTCCCTGAGTTCTTTTAAATAATAATAGTTAATGTCAAGCATTTATCATGGTTCCTTCCACACGGTCCCTATATATAAAGGGAAATTATTATTTCCAAGAACTCTCATAATAGTCATCCTGTTTTCTCGATCAAATAGGAAGCCTTGACCACTTCTCTTAAAAATTAGGTGTGGCCTGGCCAGTGTGGCTCAGTCGGCCGGGTGTTGCCCCATCCGCCGAAAGTCGTGGGCTGGATTCCCAGTCGGGGCGCATGCCTGGGTTGCAGTTTTGATCCTCAGTCAGGGCGCATGTGGGAGGCTACTAGATCGATGCTTTTCTCCCTCTCTCCCTGCCTTCCCCCTTCCCTAAAATCAATAGGCATGTAATCGGGTGAGGATAAAAAAATATATATAGGTTTGTGCCTTCCCCGTTCAGAATTTGGGGAAACCAGTAACTTCCAGGCCCGGCCCCGCCCCGCACTAGCCCCGATGCTCCGCCTCACACACTGTCCCCCTCCACCTCCAGCTCGGGGTTTCTAAGTTGTCCTTCCTGGACGCTCTGGCATTTCAGGTCATTAGGGATGAAGAAGAGCGCGTCTTGCGCAGTTGCGATAAAAGCTTTCTTCTAACGGCTCAGTCAACAGCCGTGCTGCACTCTGCCTTTGAACTTGCCTCTGTCACAAGTGCCTGCACCCTGAGTTCCATTTCCACTGCCCCCAAATGCCTTTCTGCCCGTGGCTCCGAGGCTGGGGGCCCCAGGAGCGGACGCGTTTCCCTGTGTCAGGCAGACACCGATGACACACACGCTGCAGCGTCCTCGGGGACCACGGGGCCAGCTGCTCAGCTAGAGAGTTAGCTTTTTAAGAGGAGAAAAACGCATCTTCACTTTTCAGTCGTTGCACAGTGTTCCGTCTGGGCGCTTCACGCACAGCTCGCGGAAAGAGAGGGACAGCAGGGGAACCCTGCCACAGCGAGCCCGACTCCTTGCCTCGCGTCAGTCGGAATTTCCAAACGACTCACCTCGTGTCCGTGGGGGCCGTGGGCTGGCCGATAGTCGGGCTTTTCTTCGGGTAAAAGGGCACGTTCAAAATCATCATCGCTTGGGCGCAGCCCCGCGTAGACGTTGCTCTGCGCCACAAAATAGTCTTTTGTCTCAGCCCAGGGACACGGCTGCTGTCCACCGGGGCGACTCGGGGAGGCCCAGCGCACGAGCTCCTGTCTCCCAGTCCCGGTGTCCGCCTTCCTCAACTCAGACAACCCTTAGCAGCAGGCTCATCCTCTGCAGAGAAGGTCGCCACAGGGCAATGCTTTTCCAGGAGAAGGGTTAATACTCTAGTTGAGAGAAACGAGGTAAAAACTACAACAAAAACAAACAGCTCGGTATAACCTAAGTGTCCCTTATGAAAGTGGGGCATTTGAGCCCCGCAGAACCGGGGTTTACAGGGACCAATGATGCTCCAGCCTCTCCAGAGCCCCCAGGAAGCGCGGTAGCTGTCCTCCGGCGCGGGGTGCTGGCGGGAGGGAAGGAGGGGAGGCTCGCCGCCGGCCCCGCTGTCTCACGCCTCTGCCTCGGTACCAGACGCGCTCAGGCTCTGGAACCCCACGAGGCTTTGCTCCGTCCTCTGGGCGGAGGCAGCCCCACGTTCGGAAACACGATGGGGCAGGTGGAACCAGGCTGTCCCCTCCCCTCTACCGAGCAGCCCCGTGGCTGAGTCCCACCATCTTCCGCAGCCTTCCGACCGAGAAGAGAGAGGAAACCGGGCACTGAACTGGTGAACATCTAGAGGACCACGGGGCACCCACCAAACACAGGAAGTGGGGCCTGAAAGAGACGGCGCTTCCCTTCTCTCTTTTCTTTCTCCCTCAAGAAGATTTAGAGCCTCCATCGGGGGCCATGAGCCAGGCGAGACGGGCCGGGCAGCAGGGCAGCTTGGGGGGGTGGTTAGAGCCACATAAGCAAGTACTCACGTGTGACCTCCCCACGCCCCCGCGCCCCGGACCCTGCAGTGAAGGTTAGGCAGGTGAGCCCTGTGTCACACGGCGACAGATGCCTGTCCCCATTGCCCTCCCCAGGATGCTCGGAGGTTCCTCAGGCTCCTGGCCACACAGCCGCCACGGCACAACCCTGAGGGCCTCCTAACGTCGCCGCGGCCGGGCCCAGCCGGCAAGCACTGGCCGTTCTCGCGCCTGCTCTGAGGTCTCCGGCCAGGGCGCCCGACTCCTGGTCCCAGTATGTCGAGCCTGGGTCGTTCCACCAGCCCCGTCACCCCTTAGATCCAGGGCTGCAGAGAAGTCAGTGTCCCTCAGAATGTGCTGACAACGAAGGCCCCGCTCTGACAAATATATTTAGCCCAAGAGATAAATGTCAAAAAAAATTGATATTTATGAAATTTTCCCGAATTCTTTATGTGTGTCTAAAATGTCCTAGAACTCAAAATTCTTCGGCTATTCTAGGCTGAGTAACTTTGGTGCATTTCTATAAACTTGATTGTCAACTTGTTTTAAATAGCATGAAATAGAGTGTGTGTAGGGGGGGGCGGGGCGGCATGTTTTTTAGGAGAGGATCTGAGTGAAAAGTTAAAGCCCAGACGCCCAGCAGCCCCGGGGGGGCGCTGGCACACCGCACCCCATTGAGCGGCCTCCGCGCGAGCCTTTTTATCACCGTTGCTTTTGCAGGCAGCGCCTCAGGGTCCTCAGAGAACGCCACATTTTCAGAGACTTGGCTTTTCTTCCCTGAGACTTCCTGTTCAGTTGAACTCTGTTTCCTGTTTGCTTTGATATTATCAAGCTTCTCCAGGAATTTTACCATAAGAACCATAAAAGATTCTCTCTTCTAAGGAAAATACCTCAGAGAAACATGTTCTAGGAAGAATGGCACCGAAGTATCTCATGCTCTAACAGGAAATGTGTTCAAGCCTGGATTCTGGACATTAGACCACCATTCTCCTAACTTTGTGATGGTTTTGTTGGGTTTGGTTGTTGTTTTTTTTTTCGTTTTCCCAGAGTTACCCCATTTCTTCCCGATCTTTACAGAATCAGTGTGATGCATAGACAAATCTCCAAGTGTATTTGACTTCCGCGTGTTCCTTTTACTGTGACTTGTGCATTTCCTTTGTCTGAATCAAGGGACATCATCAAGTCTAATTTATGAAGGGCCAGAGATTACCTAATAGGAAACAGGACAGTAGATAACTGATAGCTTTGGACCTAAGTCTCAGGAGGAGAGAGAGGTATAAGAGCAGAACCAAACAAACAGATCTGGGGGCTGAGAATGGGAGCAGGGAGGTGAAGGATGATAGAGACAAATACGGAATCCTATTTCCTAAAATTTAAAGCCGCAGACAGAATTACGGGAAAGATAAGATGGCGGAGCCAAAGGGAAAAGGCCAGGTAACCAGGGAGTCAGGAGGCTGCCTGGAATTCACACAATAGTTGAACTTTTAAACAGGTGATGGAGGTGGGGTTTCTGGTGACTCAGGGCAGAGGGGACAACCGAGAGACGGGGGTATGTGACTAAGGGGTTATGTAAGAGGACAAGAAGCATTTGACGACAGTTCAAGCAGCCTTGCTGTACTTCTAGCCGTTCACCCCGGGGCGGGGGGCGGTTTGTTTTATGGGATGGCACTGGGCGCTTTATACCCGGTGTGACCACACATCCCAGTTTGCCTGAGACAATCCCAGCTGCCGGTTGTACCCACCCGACAGCACTATCCTTAACCTTAAAATCTTGTGGAATAAACCACAATGAAAATCACCCATCAAATAAATACTAACTTCCCAGTTTAGTCTGCTAAAAACCTGCACCCACGATTCACGGAAAACGTTGTCTTCCCCCGAGCGCCAAGCCCTGGATTTCTCACCGCACACAACGATCCACCCGCGAGGTGTGAAGCGATGGCGACCTGCTGGAAGGGCCGCGTGTTTGTTCCGCCCCGCTGCCGGGAGAGCCGGGGCATCTGCGGGGCTCTCAGGGAGGCCATGGGAACCCTGCAGCCCGCGCGGTGCTGTGAGCAATTCACTCCAGCCTGCTGTGGCCCCCTGTGGCTTCTTCGCCCGGAGCACAGCTGAGGTCCCGCAGTGCAGAGCGGATGGAAGCGTCGGAGGAAGCCGGGGCGCGGTGGGGAGGCCGCTGGAACCAAGGCAGGTCAGCACCGAGTCCGGGCCGACTCGCCCTGAGCAGCTCTGATCGTGCCCTTCATCAGATGACTACGGTCTCTCTGTTTCCTTTTCAGTAAAATGTGGGATATTTGTCCTGTGTATCCCCACTGAGTTATGAGTTTCAAACATACCATTCATTGTACATTAAAACTTCCCATAAATCTGTGACATGGGTCTGACTGAAAACCACTGTTCTTGATTCATGTTTCCTTTTTGTTCCCCTATTTGACTAATGTGAACTCTGCTAGTGTTGCCACTGCCATTATTTAGTCATTTGTTTATCTCTGTCTCATGAAGAGTTTCCCCAGTTGACCCAATGCTATTTCGACAGGGCTAAATCGTTCAACTCATACCCGACCAGACACGT